AATATTCGATATATCGGTGATCAATTTATTAATTCTATTAATACGCCATTATCGCTGGCCGTTGATTGACATTGCGTTTCAGAACACATCGAGGACACCTCCTCCTCCTACTACCACTTCCTGCCGCCCCTTCGCCGCGCGTTCAATCGGAACACGGAACGTACAATCACGAAATTCATCTCCTCCTCCGGCCGCGGAATGTATCCCGCGGCTTCTGCTTTAATTATAAGTGCCTCCGCCGGAGGATGCATTATGCGGCTCACGCGGCCATCCGGCGTGTTCTCCGCGCCGCGTCCGAAATTACGTTTGATTTATCGCGCGAATAATGCGGCGCTTTATATAGTAATGCTTCGTCAATAACGCTTCTCCCTCTCTCTCTCTCTCTCTCTCTTTCTCTCTCACGTGCGCGCGCGGGCGCGACCAACTCTGATACGCGAACGGTCCGATTCCGGCGCTCACAGTGAAATTGGATCAGCTCGCTAGATACCGGGCGACAAAGCAGGTGCAACGTGGAATAGTGCGCGATCGCTCAATGAGAGTAATTAATAGTCGTGCCGTGGGCGCGCATCGCGATGATAAAACGCGCGACGCCGAGCGGTGAAAGGCAGAGAACGAAACGGGATCTCGTCGTTCTCGACGTTGCTGAAAGTGACATTTTGCGAGAGAGAAAGAGAGAGAAAGAGAGAGAGAGAGAGAGAGATTCTTCGTTGTATCGTCGAGGTTGCATCGATTGACGAAGCGAATGTGATAAGAGAGGTTGCCCGAGCTGAAATTTGGTCCTACATTCAACATTTGATTCTGTAATGCAATAAGAATCAAGATAGCAAAGTAGGCTAAAAAAATTTCAGTTTTAATAATAATAATATATTTTTTACTTTTACTTTACTCTAACTTTGATTCTGATGATGTCTTGGATTTCAGTTTTCGCTGTTTCAGCGTCAAAATAAGTCGTTCAAGGTAGTATTGAAATTAAATCTGTAGAATTAAAGGTCTGAGAAAAAAATTAATAAGTCAGTATCATCGAAAGAGATTTTTATTGATCCATAGGCGCAAATTCTTGAGAGCATCAAAATAACATTCAAATTTCGACTCGAGTGACAATCGGCATCGATCGTTTGAAGAATTTGCTTAATTAATAGAGATTAATCCCCACTGCTCTTACTAGGGCATTTTTCTCGAGTATGAATACTCCTTTAGATTAAATACTGCGAATCTTGCTGTGATAATTTTTATCGCGAATCTAAGCGACATCGCGACAAGCGACCGAGCGATGTTAGAAGCGCAGGTGGACGCGCAGCGCAAAAATTTCATTAACGTCAAATTCTCGCCTCGCCTGGTCTGACGGGTCGGCGCGATACCGCATTTCGACGGTTGCCTAATCAATGTTATAGCTGTGATCGGATAATAACGGAATTATGTGCTCGACGTCGCCACGTTGTCTGGTAATTGACACACATCGCATCGCCGGCGGAATCGAAATAATGCGCTGGACGGTGACGCGCGATCGCGTTACATCCGTACACCGGGGCTGTGCATATGCAGCGACGAATAATCGAAAGATATTAACAGGCTGCTATTCCAAATGCGCTGTGTCAAAATCAAAAGAGGGATTCGTAATCACAAAAATACCAGCCGCGTTCGCGAAGAGAAATCGCGACTCGCGTGATCCATTAGTTCCTCCTCCGTGCTGTCACCGGATAATAAAGCGATTAAGCGTACGTATCTTAAAGTAGTTGGTCCATAAAATGCCATATTTTTAGTGGTGATATTAAAGGTTCCTACATAAATTTATTATTTACTGAAAGAGATGCTTTCCTATAACTTTATTGAATTATATTTAGGTAACGAATGTTAATTTTGAGCGTACGCGAAATTAAGATAAATATGTTGCACACAATATTATAAACACAGAGATATTATTGATTTTTTATTTTTTTGTATTAATGTTTCATTTATACGTCGGTTGAGTTGATAGAGGTGCACACGTAACAGAAATGGATATATAAACATTTAAATATGCGTATATACACGGTTTGTCCTCTGACGAGGCTCTGATGTGGCTGATTTTTTCTTCCTGCAGCACCATTTCTTGATGGCCGGTTACGTTGCTATGTTGCCATCCACAATTTCAAGGCGCTAGCATGTCTGCGTCATTACTTTCAAAGTTATTTAATTGCAAACATCTCAGCTTCCGAATGGCCGATCGTTTTCTACAAGCACGTAGCATTTTACAAGCACGTAGAAAGTATTACCGTCGATATGCGGCTACAATTTAAAAGGATTCTTCAGAAAAAATGATTTGTGGGGCCAGCTACCTTAAATATCACGGACAGATTTGACGGTCGAGCGCAAAGCGCGTAGCGGGTCAGCACAGGTGCGCCCGATCGTACGCGATCGGCCAAATAGCCCGAAGATAAGAGAGAGAGAGAGAGAGAGTGCAGAGAAAGAGTGAGTCCGCGTTTCCGGCGCGTCTCCCATAATTGAGCGCGGTGGTCTCCCGCCGTCTCGCGTCTCTTCTTTTCCCCTTCCTCCCCCTTTTTCTCCATTTTTCTCACGATCGCGGACAGCGGCGGCTTCGCGCCGCTTGCGGCTCCTGCGGCAGCGGTGCATCCGCGTAACGGCGCATACGTGCGATGCAGACGATGCGGTATGCGGCATGCGGCGCGTCACAGGACCGTACGATCGTTGGTGCAAATTGCAGAACCGGGGGGTGGGCGGCTGGCTGGCTGGCTGGATAGGAGGCGGAGGGAGGGGGGAGGCATCGAGCTCGGAGGATAATCCGGTCGTTCGTTAATCTGCGACCGTTCGGGCGCGAATGAGATATATGCGTTTCGCTGTTTTGCAGTAGCCGCCTATCGAAACGTGTAAAGCTGCGCTTAGAGTGCTGCAGCAGCAACCCCCGCTGCCGGATCGCTCGCATTGCGCGCAAACGCGCGACGTGTAATGTTAAATGGTCGGGATCGCGTTTTACCGATCGATCACGGCGGAAAGGAAGAAAAAAATTGAAATTAAAACGGAGCATGAAAATTGTAGCCACCGTCGCCGGCCTCGATGTATCGACGAGCTCGATGTTGCCGTCACACGACGAGAAGGTATTCCCGAGCAGCCGACGGCGGCTTAGATCGGATATTACGGGAGCGACGATAAGAGAGCGGGCAACCCGAAATTAAAGCGCATAAAACTGTCCGCGGGTCTGCTCGCACGGCGCGATGAAAAATCGTGTCATTCGTTCGATGGGCGCGCGCTGCCCGCTAAAAGGGTGCGTTATAATTTAGCGGATAAATTATTCATACGTTAGGGCTACACGCGTATACCCTGCCATTACGCGGCCGAGCCGCGAGAGAGAGAGAGAGAGGTGCGCGGTAGCGGGCGAATTATGAATATTCAGAAGAGTTCGCACGTCGTAAATCTTCGCTTGTCGCGCGTTTCTGGTTCCCGCGCGAATGAACAATGGACGATAGCGTGTGCTGTGATAACAGCATCTCCAGACGAGTGCCGACGCGATCACTCTCTTTTCTTCTTTCTCTTAATCCCGCGACACGGGTTGTCGCGTTGTCTCGCCGAGGTCGGTCGAGAATCGTAACGCGAACTCCGGCTAATTAACTCGGACTCGTTGCTCGAGCATGTTAAGCGGGATTATTCGCGCAATACCGAGTTGTCGCGGATGGCGGACTTCCTGCTCGATCTCGCGCGACAATCTCCCGACTGGTTTTCTCCCGCCGGCGCGGATTCGATGCGAGTTGACGGCGCGCGAGCGTTGCAACTTCGACGATGGCGAGGACAACGAGGAGGCGGCGGGGGTTGAGGTTTAAGTTGCGTCCGACTTCGCCGCACTCTCGGCGTTATACGTGCGGCATATTGGGCTTTCGCCACCGCGATATAGCGAGCGCACACACGCCAACAAAGGCCTCCTCTTCTCATCTCTTCTCTCTCGCGCCCGAGCAATTGCCTTTCGACTGTAATTTTCGTCCGACGCTGCGTAGAAGCCGAATTAGAAGAGGCGTCAGTCGTCGTTCGTGCGTGAACCGGAGCAAACGCTCCGGAGGACCGACCCTCGCTAGTCGGAGTATAGTTGCGCGAAATGAGAGGAATCGCACGTCGGTGACTGCGAACGAGAACGAGAGGAGATTTCGGGGAGAATCGTGGTGACCTTTGCCTCAATTGCAATGGCAAAGTTCGCTTTGATTGTCATCACGATTGATGCGGAATATCTCGGCGTTTAATACCGAGTTTGTTTGAGATTCAAGGTAGTTGAAACCCATCAAACCATTTTCTTATGCGTCCTTTTAAATTGTAACCGTATATTGATGGAAATATTATTTACATGTCTGTAAAGTTAGAAAACGATTGTTCATTCGGAAACTGTGCTATTCGTAATTAAAGATGACACTTTTCATATGTATTCCTCGAAATTAACGCCCTATTTTTAACGACTATTTTTAATTTCTTCTAAACCATATTTAGGATTTTAATGAAAAAACTACTGATATTAAAGAATAATATAGAGACATTATATGAAAACTTGGGAATTATTGACCATTTTGTTTTGAAAATATAGCCATAGAAAATGTATAATTTATAACAATATCGCGGTATACCTATACACATATTTAAATATTTATATATCCCTTTATATTACATATGCAGCTCTATTAGTTTAACTGACGTGTAAATAAAACATTAATAAGAAAAATAAAATATAAATAATATCTTCGTGTATATAATATTGCGTTTATATCTGTCCTAATTCCGCTCAAAATTAACATTTATTACTCAGATAGTTAAACGAAGTTACAGAAAAGTATTTCTCTTTCAGCAAATAACTTATGTAGAGGCCCCTTAATATCGCCACTAAAGTATTTCTCTTTCAGCAAATAACTTATGTAGAGGCCCCTTAATATCGCCACTGAAAAATCTAGTATTTCGCGGACTAATTACTTCAAGTCGGTTTGTCGTCGAAATTGAGAAATTATACGTGAAACACTCGTGTAATCTTGCAGGCATCCAAAGGACCGTGCACGTGCTGCACAATTCCGAGCAACCAGCTTCGGTTTTCGCGATCCTCGAGTCCGGCAACAAGGTGGTACCATTGATAGCAGACGGCCTGTTCGATCTGCTGATGTTGAAGATGCCGACCATCTACACCAGTAAGAAGCAGACGAAGATCGAGTCGAAGGGGCCGCGGTTCGAGATCGGCGACTTCTGCGTGAAATTGGGCAGCGTGACGATGAGCCAGAATTTCAAAGGCGTCCTGGTGGAGGTGAGTGACACTATCGCGCGCATATCGCTGCTGAAAAGGGACTCTTCGCGCGAGAGAGAACCTTCGAGAGCGAACGACCGTGGTGTGTACCTTTGATCTGTGGAATTTCTAATCCTTTGAAGTGATACATTTTTCCCATTCGGCCCACCTCGTCGTGACATCGCCCCCCCGGGTCTCCCTCTTCCCGCTGACTCTAAGTGAAAACTCGGGTCTTCTCTTTTCCCTCGCGAATTCGCACAAGACTCGCTCGGTATTCATCTCGTGCTGACAATTCTCTCTTCCCTGTCCCCCTCCCCCCTTCTCTTTCTCTCCCACATCCGAAATATCGTTTCTTGTGTTCTGAAACGCGGACGCTCGCTCGTCCGCCCCCTTCGATTATTCGATTGTTCCGCGACGAACGAGCGCAGAGATCGCCGATGGCGCTCTCCTCGAGGTCACCCGGAACGATATCGGTTCCTGAGGGATTCCTGAATTCCGCGACTGTAATGAATTCTTCGGGCTGGGAAGCGCAGCCCGCGCGCTCTCTCTCTCTCTGCTACTCGCTTCCGGTGACCCTCCTCCCTTGCCAATCACGACGACGAGTGTGCGTTATCGATTGATAGCTCGGTCACGAGACCCGACGCTCTACGTGCATACGCAAATCGCATATGCGCTCGTTATAGATATGCGCTTAGGGGCGGAACGTGGCGCCACGCACCCCTCGCATCGCCAGCCGGACCGCGCGGATACGTGTCTCGCGTGTCAAACTCGGCACGCCGAGATATTTCATACCCCGTCGTCCGTCCGACGCAGGACGGAGGAGCGTTGCACGCGGGTAATCGCGTAATTAAGTCCGGACATCAGCATCGACGAATCCCCCGCTGTCGCTTCGTCAAACGCCGTACAATTTCCTCTTTAATTTATCGCGTAACTTCGCACGTTCGCTTTATTTCTCTCTCGGGCATCTATTATGGAAATGCTCGGAAAGGCTTCCGATCGAAATCGCCCAATTATTCTCTAGATTTCTATTGTGTTTTCTAAGGAATAAGCGAGCGACTTCGATCGGATACCTTTTCAAACAGGATATCGATCATGTAATTTCACGCGAAATATTTCACTCTCCGCTCTATCGATTCCGCGTGAACTTTTTCACTATTCGCGCGGTTATGCAACTCTGAATGTGTGAAAAGTAAAAATGGTCGTTAATCTCGTTTTAAAACATTCTCATATCTTATTCCCTATTCCCCTTTTATTTTGTTTTAAATTGCAACTTATTCCTGATATCTTATTTAATATCTTACTCTTAATTTCTTATATTTAATTCCTTGTACTTGTTCCTTTCATTTTGTCTGAGAGCCCTAAACGAGCCAGCGCGTGTGGGAAACCGAAAGATTTCGGATTCGTTTTACCGCAAGTTCGCGGCGTTCCCGGTTTTCATGGGTTAACCCTGAGAGTAATATTCGCCATCTTGATACTAAATTAACTCAGGCCTACATCACGAAAAAAAATGGTAAAAATCGCTGTTCTTTGCATTTTTGTGAATCGCTTACATTTATTAAATTGATTACCAATTTTTATTTATTGTCTTTGTAGACTGGTTGCCACCAGGAAACCAGTAATCTCATTGGATCAGGCTGATAACAGCAATAGCCACATGAAACCAACTTTTTTTCCGAGTAACAGAGAAGTAAGAATGGAATATAACGTCTTGCATAAAAACGTAAAAGAAGGATTAAGCGAAAGAAAACGCGTGTAGGCCTGGTAAGTCTAACATGTTACTGTCAGGGTGAATCAACTTCGCTCTTTAGTGGTACTTTATATGGCGCTTTACGCCTTCAACGTGGATCACGTTACGTCGAATGCGAAAACGGTCGTTTTCCTGTTCTCCGTGGGTACATGTCGCGCGGATCGATGCAGCCTCGTGAACACGTTTTCGTCCTTTTGCGAAGATCTCTCGGTGTCCCGTGTCTCCGTACACGTGCGCGGAAGCACGGCCGCGTGCATAACGATCGCTGCACTCGGATGCACTGTCGCGTACCTGTAAACACCGAAGGTACACACGCGCGTACCACGGAGCGTCATTACAATTTGTCGTCCCGCCGATGCTTCGGGCCTATTGTGCACGCACGTACTTACGTTTGACAGCGAGCCGCGTTCCCAGCTTGAATGTCGGATGCTCCGAGATCGTTGTTTCACCGTGCACCTCCATCACCGTCGTCGTCGTCGTAACTGTCGTCTCAATTGTGGTAACGAAAAATCGCGAACCATGATCTGCACTCACCGAGAGTAGAAATCACCATCGACATGTAGCACTGGACGGAGCATGGACGTATCGCGTTGACGGATATCGAAAGAGACACTTTTCTTGCCTAAGAAATACTGTATGAATAAAGTATAAACTGTATTTAGTGATTATATATTACGTGTATAATAATTTCGGTTTTATATACAACGTTATACACGTATAGATTGCAACACGTCAAATTTATAACAATTTTATAGTTTATGACAAACGTTAAGGATGTTCCCAATTGATAGAAATACGGTGCTGTTCCTCTTCTCTTTAGACAAAATTCAACCGATGAAAAGATAGTAGAGAGAGAGAGAGAGAGAGAGAAACCCGTGTTCAAACATCTGTTTCTGCCTTTCTAGGCCTGTCAACACGAAAGATCAAAGAAATTTTTTGCTGCGTGCTCCGTCCAGCTATACTATCCCGAGTCGAAATTTCAGTTCTACACTAAGTCTATTTAGTTCTACACTAAAGAAATCCTGGAACCGTTCTGGTTTACCGCAAATTTGTTAGTATTATATTATCATTACTGACTGCACAGAACCAAAAATAGCTAAAAAATTATAAAATATCGATTTTCGAATAAAGTCAACTGTCTTCGCTTACATTAACGTATATATTGTATAATTGTGCAGAAGGATTTTTAATCCTGTACAGTCAATAATGAGTATAGTATTAACAAATTTGCGGATACATGATACTTTTCCTTCCAAGATACGATAAAACAGGACGAGATTCCGGGATCATCTTGACTCTTCAAAAGTCTTCTATTGTGCTCCCTTTGATGCTACAGACGGGAAGTTGTTTCCGTTTCCTCCACCTGAAAACTTAATGTAGAATTTAAAATCCCCTCCCCCTCGGTCTAAATTCCTCTTGCAACATCAAAGGAGCATTATTTGTGCTTGAAGGCTTCGGTCCATATTCTGAACTCGCTTTTATCCATAAAAGCGCCTCTAAAAATGGCTTAAGGATCACCTGATTGGCTGAGAAGCCACATTTAAGGCACTTTTATCGATAAAAGTGATTTCGGAGTGTAGACGTTAATATAGAACTAATTGGACTTGACGTAGTACTGAAATTTCGGGATGTGTCGATGGAGATCACACTCAGCGAGCGGAGCCGCACTTTGACGCGGCTCCTCGTCCGCGAACGAGCATATTCGCGCACACTTGGCCCGCAAATTACAACCGCGGCGCGTAATAAATCCCGCCGATGCGGCCGGTTCCGATGACAATAAACGTCGCATCGATTAACGCGAACCGCCGAGTCAATTGTGCAATTTGTTTGACCGGCGATAATTTTATTCGGCGCGCGCGCGCGCTCTCTCAATGGGTAGCTCGTGTCATGATAATTCCGTTTCGCGAGCCCTTCGTCGTTCGAATGGCATCGCGCGCGCTGAGCAGGGATGAGCGTTGCGAACAAATAGTCGCGCGTCAGCTTTGTGCCGAACTTGCGAGACAACCGTGCCGAGTTTCGGTTTCCTCCTTTTTTTCCGACCGCCCCGAAACGTCGGCACGCTGTTGTGCGCCCGCCCCCTCCCCGCTCTCACCTCGTCCTCGACGGTGCACAGCTTCCGCAGCCCCGGACAGACTCATCCGGCCGTGCAGCGGTGGCACGTACACACATACATACACACACGTTCACACACTCAGCCACGTGCGTCCGACACCGCGGCTTTAAACGCTCCGCCAGCCATTCGTATCGGTAACTGCGCCGTTTGTACAGAGCCGCGACGTCAAATACGTCACGATAACCCCCCGACTCCGCCGTTAATTTCAACGGCCCCAAGCAACCCCCCGCGTTAAATCTCTCGCGACCCCGCAACCCCGTTCGCGTCGACAACCCTTGGCCCTCCGACACTCTTCTCTCCACGGCTTCCCGCCGTTGCGACGAGCGCTTCCTTCCGCTCTCTCCCACCGTTATTCGCCGCTGCGACTCTCTCGTTTCCTCCGCGATTCTTAGCAGCGCGGCCACTTATCAGAGCCCGCGAACACGAACGCGTGGCCGGTGGTGGCCGCGTTGCAGTCGCCCGTGACCCAGTTCGGAAAGGCGGGCGAAGACGGTCCGATATCAAGCGGATGCGCCGTCCTTCCGAGCTCGCGCGAGCCTTAAATACCCGCATAGACATTTTCCCGTATGCAGCGTAGATTCCGATTAGAATACCCAAAGTCGTCCCAAAATAGGCTGTCCCACCAATTTCGAGTCCCACTTTTGTCGCAAATATAGAATAAAGTCTCTTTTCCGCGAGGCTGATTGGTTGTACGCTTGCGGTTCGTTTCGTGCCGCTTGCGACTGTGTGATCGTCGAGTGACGGTTGACCGAATATCAGATTAAGAGATTAATCCCTTTGCTGTCAGCGCGTAAACTGCACAAAATGTTCAACATTAACTGATAAGTCAATTGTGACGAACACGTGCAAGGTATCCGATAATTATCCTTCTATCCGTGGTGTGCAGGTAGAACGGATTAAACTGGATAGGAAAATCATGTACCGTTTTGCAAAATCCGCGAATAGTTAATAGAGGAATTAATTAATTTGTATGAGCTAATAAGCGAGTATTTGTTAAATTAATATATTCAGCTTATTTACATATCACTTTTAACGCATTTACCATGTTAAAGTAACATAAATTTGAATGGACTGTTTGTAACACCATTTCTTTTTTATTGTGCAGAATCCACAGTAATTGCAGAAAGTCGGACTGAAATCCCAATAAGATCCCAAATCGACAGAGTTATTTGGTTATTTCATGATGTGTGCGATTTACCCGTCGCATACGTCGCTCGCTCTTCGCTCTCGCAGACGACGAATTTGTCGCGTCCGCTCATACGAATGCCCTCGGGTGCGACGACACCTTCAAACGGGATTAACTGGCGGATTATAATAAGCACGTTATTTTCCGGCACGCAAGCACGCGCTCGCGATCGTCAGCGGCGAAGAGTCGAAGTCGCGTCGCAAGTTGCCGATTCCATATCCGTCTCACTCCGCTCTCCTCCCACGCTCTTCTTCCCCTCCGGCACACCGTCAACACACCGTAAGCCAGATTATACGAGAAACGTATAAGGTCCTTGTCGCGGATATTCCGTCTTCGGATATGGCAAAGCCTTCTTCTCTTCCTCCTCCTCTTCCTCCTCCTCCTACTTCTCCTCTATTCGCCGCTATTGCCGGTTACTATCGCGTCTCGATATTTGATCGTCATCCTCTGATAAATTTTAGCGTGACGCATATATCGGTACACGGGAAAAAATCTCAATTCGTGTTACAGTGAACGAGGACCGGACTAGAGAATTTTACGACGAGGAACAATATCTCCGTTATCTCGACTGAAAATATTCGTCTGGACATTCGGCCGCGTCAAATTCCGGTTGAGTTAACCGAGAACGATTGACTGAAATCTCCGACCGGGAATCTTCCTGTTCCTGCAACCGAGTTTTCGACACAGATTCCCGGACAGAATAGAAAATCGGTTACACGAGCCGAGTTTTTTCCTTCACGTTTTTTTTCCACAACGTTTTCGCGGCTTCTCCTCGCGCCGTGAGACGCGTCTGACAATTTTTCCGACAGGTTTTCCCTTCTCCGTTCGATTCGCAGGTCGAGTACAGACCGTGCGTGGTGCCGGGAAGCGCGTGGGAATTGATACGCGAGTTCCTGCAGGGATTCCTGGGCTCGACCGTGTCGAATCAGGCGCCCCAATACCTCCAGGTAATCTTGATAGGCTTTTTAGGCTTCACCGAGTGCGCGAATGTGCAATAGAACGTTTCCCCTCACGTCTGGCGAACCTTTTGCAGAACCGAATGAACGACATTTATCAGCCGTTGGACACGATACACCAATATCTGGAGCACTTCGGCCAGTACAGGAAAGCCACGGGGGTGATTTAAACGAGCAGCCGCGACGACGACGCTGTGACGGCCGTCCGGGCCGTTGGGACATTATTTATTTTACTGCGACATTAACGGAAAAATCGATCCGAGGCGAGCAATCTCAAAGAGATAGCTGATTGGCCGAGTGCGTCGATATTTGTTACATTAGAGTCCAGTTCGTAATATCGTTACCCCTCGGTGCACTGTCCGTTCGTTTTTATTCCACTGTCGAATGGAATTTACGCGCAGCAGTGTTTCCCAGCAGAACAATATCGGAGCTACAATCCGTGCGCAAAACCGAAGAATCTGCTCCCGGAGCTATCCGAAATATAAAAGTTCGTCAAAAATTTTCATAGTTTTGCAACCCAATGTAATTTATACCTTTTCGCGATCGTGTGTTCCACTGAAGGAGAAAATGCCACATTCAAGTGAATATTTCCTAAGGAGTGTATATTGGAGTAATTATTTTACTTGCTTTAAGTAATATTACTGACCTTTATTTTCAATGCAACTCAATATTGGACTAAAAAAATCTTTATGTCTCAATAGTACAGACAATAGTAAGTTAAATAACTTATGCCGCTATGTTTCTAAGATATAAGTAGAATTGCTGATATAAGGCTATCTTATAGCTTCCTTACAGCACAAATAATCATAGTAATTTCGTATACTCGAGAGAATTGACATCATTATATACTCAGAAATATTACTTGATTGTAGCACACTGAAAGAAAAAAGTGTTACACGTCCACAAATAATATTTACTTTAACCAAGTATAAATAATTACTCCAATACTCCTCGGCAAATATTCACTCGAATGTAGCACTTTTTTCCTTGAGCGTATTTTTGAAGCAACTGTTTCCTGCAGCTCTTCAACGCGATCTTTATTTTTTAATATGAATTTCAGACAATCCATGAGTAAGGAAAATAAGTTCTGCCTTACGGGGGATCTGTAATCTTCCGCGACATTTTTGTCGAAGTTACGTCTTCTACCTGGTTTTCGTGCGCATTTTATCTTGGAGCGCCTCTTTGCCGACAATACTGGCAGGGTTTACGTAATACAGCACGATGTATTGTCTGAAAAATAAACGTACCATCGAGGAAATCCGATAGCAACTATCCGAACGACCGTGCGTAATCGATAATGAACCGTCATTGTGAGCCGCCGTAATTACCTATTATTTGTAACGCGTTGCTTCTCACGCTCGTTATTCGCCGTGAGCTTCACCGTGTAGCTGCGTTTATAATGGGACGGGTTTTTGTCGGTGGAAGTAAACGCGACGGGGATCCCATCTCGCTCGCCGGGTAAAACGAGTGATTCGATATTTTCCGACACGCGGCCGATGCATCGTCATCTTTCGAAATTGTATGTGTGTGTATGGGTGCTTACATGCTTGTGTAATTGATACATACACATTCACAGCCATGATGACCCTGCTTTAGACGTCGTATATTTATATATAGATTAAGCTTTGAGGATATTTAGATTATTTTAAAAAATTGCGTGTTGTTAGGAACTAATGTATATAATGATGTAAATTCTCTCGAGTATACGAAATTACTATGATTATTTGTGCTGTAAGGAAGCTATAAGATAGCCTTACATCAGCAATTCTACTTATATCTTAGAAACATATAGCGGCATAAGTTATTTAACTTACTATTGTCTGTACTATTGAGAAATAAAGATTTTTTTAGTCCAATATTGAGTTGTATTGAAAATAAAAATACTTTTTAGCTCTCTCTACACAATTGAAATATATTATTTGAAAATAAAAAGACAGAAAAAAACAGAAAGACTTTTTTTGACCGAGTTATTCAATGTTAAAGTAAAAATTGTTTTAACTTTAAAAAGCGTTTTGACTTTAAACACTCAAAACAGACGAATGAGTCGATGTACGACGGCCATTAAACAATGATTAAAAAGACCAAAGTTCGCTTTTTAAAATATGCTTTATCGTATTTTTAACAAAAATAAATCTTCAATGTGAAAACAACTGAGAGATGAGGTCGAAAATCGGAAGGTCGCCATTTCTCACTTAACTCGATATATCTTAGCAATAAACAATAATAATGTTATGAATTTAATATTTTTGAAAAATAAAGACTTCAAGCTTTGAAATGCTTCTTGAACCATTACGCTATCATCATTTTCGCCGATGTTACAACTTGTTGAATTTTGCCTATGCTTCGATTTAGGGACAAATGCGGCTGACCATTTATTGAGTTATATTACTTAAGAGAAGAAGAGACGTCTGATCTCATTGTTGAGTTGCACCTATGTCTCAAATTCTCAGTTGATATAGTGGCGGCTCGTAACGGAAACGTCGGAACTAAAAGTCGAAGTCACCCAAGTTGCGAACTTTTTCAATCAACACTATCGATCACTTAGCCGAGACTCAAACCCTTCCAGTGAACGAATTCCAGCTCGATTCCACTAGATGACACTAGATAGTCCGCCAGCAGTCAAGCCCATTTTTAACCAAACATAATGTTCAATCCAAACAATAAATTAGTTGGAAACAAATTCAAGGGAATTAAAATCAAACAGAAAGACTGATTAAATTAAAATCAAACAAACTGGAATAATAAATTTATAGAAATAAATAATAATAAATTTATAAAAACTTTCCATGCAAGTCCTGTGCCGATCCAAATAGAACACAAGTCATATAAAAGTCAAGATACAAGAGTACTGAAATATTGAAATAAATTTCTATTAATACTTTCTAATAATATTGTAATGTAAGGTTATATTGCAAGGTTAATACATACCAATAACATTCTTATTACATAAACAAAAATAATATACGTAAACGATATAATTTCCGATATTCGCTTACACTTACTACATTTGTGTAACTTAAAAGTCACGTCACTTTACAATCTTCTAAGCCAATAATAAATATGAATCTGGATAATGAAATGTAAAAACATTGATTAATTAATTATACATTCACCACATAAATCATCGTGCAAACAAAGGTACGTGCAATATAGATTCACACTTAGTTCACATACGACTTTAATGTCGCATCTGGTAATCATAGTCATTGTATACTTGCGCAATCGTGAACTCTTGGCCGACTGATTTGCAATTTCATTTTTTACTTCCTCCGACGAAGCACAAGTGATTTTACTTGGCCGCTATTAAATTGCTGAAGCGCGACGGAATGTTCCCAGTCATCAAAAAGTGCGGCATTGTGGGTCACGTGACCGCGGTCAACTGCGCGATGTGAAACGCATGAGTTGCATAAAGTGGCGAGCTAGTGACAGCGGCGAAGTCGTAATCGTGTCGTGGAAAGCCGGCATTTTCCAGCGGTTTATAACACAAACGGGACACACGAGTTTGCGACAATGGAGGTGAGAATTCGCAAAATATCGTCACGTGAGAAATCGACGAATTCAACGGCACGACGACTTGCGTCTTTATCCTTTTTTTTTTTTTCAGATCGTGATACGTTCGGCGAAATCCTCCATGTTGATAGCTAACGTGAATGTGAGTGGAAAGTGTTGAAACAGTGATGTTTAATTAATGCTAACGTAACTGTGAAGCTGGAATATTTCAATAAAATTAAATCAGACAGCTCCATACTCGGATTTGCCGGAGGAAGAAAAAAAGAATGACAAGGCAAAGAATTGGAATGAGGAGCAAAACACTGGATGGTCTGGTGCTATAAGATGTTTTGCTCCTCATGCCCTGTAATTCTTCCTTTCCTCTGGAATATCTCGTTAGAATTTGGCATGACTTGACACACTTGATGCATTTCTTTATTTTCCTCGCAAATTCCCAGTGACTTGCGAGAGATCGAGGACAGAATTTTTTCTTTTAGTGTAACGACATATTCTTATTCGCAGGTGAACGCAAACACTACCATAGGAGAAATCAAGAAGAAGTTGTATGACTTAGGGAAAGCACCGTATGCAGCAAGGCAAAATCTGAAATTGGATGTCAAGGGAATAACATTGTCTGACTCTGAGACAGTGAAGTCTCTGTCACTCAAGGCAGGTAGCATATTGTATTACAAGGATCTTGGCCCTCAGATTGGCTGGAAGACTGTATTCCTCATGGAATATGCAGGACCATTGATAGTGTACCTTTGGCTGTATCAGCGTCCATGGTTGTTCTATGGCAATGTTGAGACTGATAATTATCACTATGTAGTTAAGTAAGTCATTCTACTTGTTCTTTAAATTAATCCCCCATCCTTTACAAAACTGCAAATGCATCCGACACAATGCAGAGACACACACAGAGGTGTATTTACATAAATATTTATGGTATTCTTGTGATATCGTTACAAATGGAATGATTTTTCTTTCAGTTTCGCAGCGGGCTGTTGGACGGTGCACTACGCGAAGCGTCTCTATGAGACTCTGTTCGTCCACCGTTTCAGTCACGCGACAATGCCATTGCGCAATTTGTTCAAAAATTGTTCCTATTATTGGTTGTTCACTATGTACGTGGCTTACCACGTAAATCATCCATTGTATACGGCTCCGTGCTGGGGCAAATTCTACACCGGGGCAGCTGTGTTCGCGCTTTGCGAACTGGGAAACCTCTGCGTGCATTTAGCACTGCGGGATTTGAGACCACCGGGCACTACAGTCAGAAAAATTCCCATGCCGACTAATCTTTTCACCGGACTCTTCCGGTATGTCTCTTGCCCGAACTATACGTACGAAATAGGAAGCTGGATAGGCTTCACCGTGATGACGTCGTGTCTTCCAGGTATGTCTCCATTTACATTTAATATTTGATTATGCATGCAATTTCGACCTTCGATACCGCATGGACTTCGGACATCGAGCTGCGAATAAGATGCTAATGAATCCTTATTTATTTATTCAGCTGGTCTGTTTACGATGCTAATGAATCCTTATTTATTTATTCAGCTGGTCTGTTTGCGATCGCTGGTGCGTATCAGATGGCCGTATGGGCGTTGGGAAAACACAAAGCGTACAAAAAGGAATTTCCGAGTTATCCGAAGAACCGTAAAGCCATCATTCCGTTTATCCTCTAAGCCGATTATATTTATATCGATTCCTCTGCGGAACAACGTTACTAATTATCGGGGTGAGGTTTTAGTAAGTTATTCGACTCCGATTTTGATGAAATTTTACAGTTACGCAGTACTAGTTAAACGTTGTCGAAGTCCCCTATTCGGTATATTTACTCAGTTTCAATAAACTGAAAGATTCCAGCAAAATATGTTTGAATTTTAATTATCTTTTTATATCGGAATCTTGGAAAACGTTAATTAAGTCGGATAATTGAAATTCTTATTTCTTGGAAACTTTTCCGCAACTCCGCACTGATAGCTTTGACTACGTTCAGTATAAATACTATATACCTATAAAATTTCATCAAAATCGGAGGTAGTTTACTAAAGTTAAACTATTATCGGCCCTGCCTTTGATTTTATTGTTATTTTTCACTTCTGAGATATATATATATAAAAGTATGTATTGTAAAACTTCGTCATTCTCTTCGTCGTATGTGACGAATAACAACAAAGTAACATTTGTACAATCGCAAAAGAAGTACATACAGGGTACACATAAAAGGAATTTTATTTCCTCTGGTTTTCTGTCCTCGGTGTATAATATAATACCGTGTATATTGTAAGCATATGTTCTCGAACTATTTCCATATATATATATATATATATATATATGTATACATGTGTATATATAAATATCGCAATAGTACCTTATCATTGAAGCTACCAGCACAATGTTTAAATCCTTGAAAAAAACGACTAGACGCCGCGGACCGGTCTCAGAGCGATCTCTTCCGTCCCTTCACCTCTTCGGAGGACAATCTGCTCAGGAGCCGTGTCACATCCTCTTTCAGCGCCAGAATAATCTGCTGGTACTCCCGCATTTGCGCCGTGTACTTCTCCCGCACCTTCTCGTAGCCCTGATACGCTTGCTGCATCGCTTCCTTCGCCTCCGCGGATCGTGCGTCCATCCGCGTCAAACCCAACATGCTCTCCATCCGCGAGATGTATTCCCGCGCTTCCTTCAGCTGCTCCCTCAGAGCGTTCAGCTCCACGATGAGCACGCTGCTCTCCTCCGTCATCCTCTCCAGATCTTTCTCTCCCACGGACGTGTCCTTGGACACCTGCCTCTGGAGGGACGCGACGGTCCTCTCCAAGAGCTCGCGCTGCTTCTTAAACTCGCACTCCGCGTCCACGTCCGCCTTGCGAGAGCGCAGGAACTGTTCGGCCGCACTGTACTTGTGATACAGGCTGGTCACCGCCGTCCTCAGAGCGCTCGGCTCCTCCTGCACGGCGGTGTCGAGGATGTCGGTGCGAATCCTCCGCACGAGCCGCTGACACCGCCTGCTCTTGTGCACCTCGCTGTCGACTTCCTGCCGCGCCGCCCGCAACTTCTCTCGCGTTTCGCGCAACTCCAGCTTCAGACTGGCCTCGGTCTCGTGGTAACTCTTCAGTTCAATCCCCGTGTTCCGGATCTCCTCGTTCAGCTGCTGTATCTCCCGGTTCCGCGGCTCTATCTGCCCTTCTAGTTCCTGCACCTTGTGAGTCAGCACGAACTTGTACTTCTCCAGCTCCTGGTTCGCCCGCAGCGTGTCGTACACCTGTTGCTCCTTGTCCAGAATCGTCGCGTCCCTCTCGTCGATCTCCTTCTTCATCTCCACCAGCTGCTTCTCCAGGTCCTGTATGTTCTTGTGGAACTGCGCGTACTCTGTCTGCACGCGACTCACCTGCCTCCTCAGGTCCTCCACGTCCTTCTGGCCGGCCATGAATCGGTTCCGCATCACGCCGGCCTCTCCCTTCAGCTTCAGATTGGACTGCCTCTCCTCCTGTAAGAGGCTCTCGTAGTTCGTGCGTATCTCGAGGATCTCGCGATCGGCGTCGTCCTCTATCTGCGCCACCAAGTGCCCGTGGACCTGCTCCTTGTGCGCCATCTCGTCCGACGTCTCCTCCAGTTGCAACTTCTTCTCGTGCACCAGAGCCTCGTACTTGGTCACGACGCTCTGCAGCTCCTCTGCGTCGCGTTTCTCGAGGTTGGCCAGTTGCCGCTCGTAATCCTGGCGCATGGCGTTGGTGTGCTCCTCGAACGCCTGATACCTGTCGTACTCCGTGATCAACTTGGCCTCGTAGCTGTTCTCCATGCGTTGCGTCGCCTGCTCGTGCGCGTTCTTCATCTTCACTATCTCCACGTTTATGTTGTTGATCTCGTTGATGTGGTCCTCTTGGAGCTTCTCGATCCTGTCCCGCAGCTCCTTGATGGCCTCGCAGTATCCCCGATGAACGTCGCGCAGCTTGTCGCCGTGCAATACATCGATCTGCCGCAGCTTGTACGCGTGCTCGGTCTCCAGCTCCCTTATCCGCACCGTCAGACCCTTAATCGTGTTTATCTTGTCCTGCAGATCCTCTTTGCCGATCAACACCTCGTCCGTGTACGGCAGCTCTCTGCCGATCTTCACGACCTTCCCCTCCGCGTAGTACAGCTTCCACACGCACAAACTCCCGTCCCTCGCGACGGATATCAAGTAATTCTCGTTGTGCGAGAGCGCGATCTGCGAGAAGGGAGAGAAATGAAGGGAGATCGATCCTGTAATACTGGGTTGATGCAAAAGTTCGTCCCGTCCTTTACTCAAAATATACATATATTTTTATTGATTTTTTAATAGAATCAATCAATCGAGTATGCGCCGTTTTGTCCGATGATTCGTCACCTCTTCCGATAGCTGCATGTGGTCGTAAAAATTCTAGAATTTCTGGTGATGAAGAAACGGAACGCGAACTTTTGCTCAATATACAGGGTGTTAAACACAACAAGTGAATAATTTACGAGATACAAAATATCTTGTATATTATTCACTTGTTGTGTTTGAAATTTAACACATTTATTAACATTTATTTTGTATTTTGTGCTGAAAAATAAAATGTCTCGGAAAACATTCACTTTTCGGTGATCTTGTTCTAATACTTTTATGCGTAGAGCGAACAGAGGGATCAATTGATGTTAAAAAAAGGAACGATATGATTCCATTAACAAAAATGAAGCTGACCTTTATCTCACCTTCACCCAAAGTCAAATTCATTTTATCAGGATTCGTCCCCTTCAAGCAATACAATCTAAGAACAGCCGGACCTCGACGTTTCGTTTAGTTTTCGAGATACTCGGCCTATTACGTTTGAAATTTAACGCCCTACGTACGTATCGATTAACACGTTCCGTGCCACATATACCGTTTTCGGCACACGCCGAACTCTCGACCTCGCGCAAACTGCTTGTCATTGGGAGACGGAGTGGAGTAAAATAATTTGTCTCATCACCCATTCGTATACACTCCCTCGTCATTTAGATCATTCGTCAAGCTCCACATCGCATACCGTTTTCGGCGGCGTGAATTGAGAGTCGCGTGAAGACGACCCGACATGGAATATGTTGAGAAGGCGATACCTTCATGACGTCGACGCTGTGCAGATGGAAATCTATCGACTCTATCGTGCTCTGAAGCGGGGTTTTCAGCGACAGGATAACACCGCCGGGGCAAGTTACAAATATCGACAGATCGTCCTTTCCCATGATCATGTGGTGCATTTCCTTACCGACCAGCTTGAAGTCTCGCAACACCTGACGACGAAAGGAATAACGAATTCACCGGCAAAAGTTCACACACACACGAGCGAAATGCCAAGACGTACCGCGTTATATCTGATCTCGCGTATACGGTCATCGTGCGCTATACAGTAGGTGTACGACATGTCCGAAGAGAGCACCAAGTCGCGGAGGTTCAGGCCCTTCAGGATGATCTCGCCGGAGCGTGTGCCGGTGGCCATGTCCCACTCGTAAATCGCGCCCTCCGTTCCCATGCTCAGCATCTTCAGGTCCATCTGCGACCACAGCAAGGCCTTCACCTTGCCCGTGTGTCCCTTCAGGATGAAGGGATTGTAGAAGCCGATGGTGGTGTAGACCTGCACGACGTTGCCGTTGACCGCGGCGAACATGTGGCCGCCGTGACTGAAGCAGACGGTCCTGCAGCTCCTGATGGCGAACTCGTGCATCGGCAGCAGGTCGTCGATCAGTATGGTCATGAAGCGCAGCTTGTCGCTGAAGCCGATCAGGCAGAACAGGCCCATCGGGTGCATCGCGATGCCGCATATCTCCTCCGCGTACTGCTTCAGCATGATCAGACTCTCGGTCTCGAAGTCCCACAGTCTGACGCTGCGGTCGTACTCGCCGAACGTCATGAAGACCGACTTCCAAGCGCACACGGAGAGATCGCCGATGGGGCCGTGGTGCAACGGCTGGCCCATGATATTCAGTTGTTGCGGTTCCGGGTCCATGTTCAGATCCGGGCCCCAGAGGGTAACGTGGAACAATTGGGACCAGCCGGACGTGATGATCAGATGATCATAGCTGATGTTCACGTTGATCGTGTTGATCCTGTAGAGATCCGGGGCGTCTTTCTGCGACCACGCCTGCACCGGGACGCAGTAAATGTTTCTCTTAGTGTACTTGTGCTTCCCTTCCTTCTCGAATAGGACTATGGTGCCGACGCCTAAGGCGTAAACGAATCCTCTCGGGAAAGCGAGCAGGCAGCGCACGTGCTGCTCCCAGGCGTTGTCGCGGAGCTCCGGGGTCACCTGCGAGCTCTGGTCCGCGGGCATCACGTACTCCTCGCGGATCTTGAGATTCATCGACACCGTTTCGGATATCTGATAGATGTTCTTCAAGTCGCCGTTTTCTAGGTAAAGTACCCGGCCGTCCTTGGTGCCGGCCAGCAGTCGATCCGCGTTCAGCCAAGCCATCGAGCAGATGAGAAGATTGTCGGCCTTGGCGAAGCCGTACGAACGCCACACCGTCTCGGCGATGGTGAGGAACTTGAAAATGTATGATCCACCGAAAGCCATCACCGCCGATTCCGCCGGATTGCATGCTATCATCTCGGCGATCGCCAACGGGTTCTGCGGAATGGCCACCTTGTACGTGGACTCCACCTTACCCTTCTCCCAATTATAGAAGAGCATCGTTTGTTCAGGCTCCCCAGTGATGGCGGCTAGATTCTTACTGTCGTGGGTGAATGCCATGCATGAGAATCTCGTTACTCCCGTGGCTTCGAAAGGTATGCCGAGTAACTTCCTGCGCTTCAGAGAGGCGATGTCGTAAATAGAGATGGCAGGTTTCTCGCCCACTTCGGACAATGCGACGTATCTCCTTCAAATAAAATATATTCATATGTATTGATCGTGTATATTAAAAATATATAATACAATATACTATGATACTATAGTATTATAAATATACTATTCACACATACTGTACTAAATATTAAAACTGGATGTCCCACGTCTACATAGACAAACTTAGTAAGGGAAGAGAACAAATTGAGGTAAACAAAAAAATCCTCTACCATTTTGCAAACAACACACAAAATTTCGAGTTATTAGTTATTGAAAATGGCCGTGTGTAGAGACTTCTTCAATCAGTAACTCAAAAATTTGCGTGTTATTTACAAAATGATAAAGGACTCTTTCGTTCAGAGTGGCCTAATATATGACAGTTGTTGTAGCAACAAATATCAATATGTTGAATATTGAACCTGTTGTTAGATACAACAGCTTGCAAAATGATAGAGGATATTTTGTTCACCGTAATCCATTTTACATCCTCACTAAATTTGTCCATATTGATCTAGGATATACTAAATACTAAAAATATATATTCTATATATTATATATTAAATATATATCATAATATTATAATATACCAGGAATATATATTTAAATATATAAAGAAAATGGAAGATATAAATTAATGGAAGTTTGTTTCATAAAACTACGATGTTCTAATCTTTCTAATTTTATAATCCACTCACTTATTAGGCGAGACGCAAATGACGTTTATTCGATGCTTGTCGGGCAATCGAATCAATTTCTGATCGCGCTGAGCAAAATTGTGAACCGCCAATACATTACCAACTGGATACAGAATCTCCGTATCCGTGATATAATGCGCATTGCCGACAATATCCGTTTGTAAACCGTAGAAAACTCGTGTTTGCAGAGACGCAGCAGCCATTATCCTCGAGAAACTTAAAAAATCCTTAACGAGAAGTCAATCAGTAAAAGCAACATCTCACGCGTGCTACCTAGAATAAATAAATCTTAATTGCTTCGCATCTATTTTCTTCTTATGATTCTTCTTTTCCTCTTTTCCTTCTTTGGCGATCGGGTATTATTTTCAAATACCTATTGGTTTTATTCCGTTTCGCAAGTAGATGCGGCACAAAGGAATCTGACATCCTAACGAAGTTGTTTGTATCACCTGGGTGACGCGTTGCGAATACGCGAAATTCACACTTACCCGCCGTCGTCGGCCACATTCAAGCTCCGTTTTAATGAGTCCGAGATAACTCTCCTTCGTCATACGCCAGACGGCGCTGATGTGAGGCCGGATCTGTGTGAACACCGCCTGAGGGCTGCGTTTTTATAGCTGCACTGTCTGTACTTAAAACGAAGCAGATGTATACGTTCGACGCTTAGGAGAGAAGGAAAGCAGATAGACAGAGTGCGGAAAGTGCATCTTTGAAGAACACAGCCGGAAAGATCTCTTGCGCCGAGTCCGAGTGTAGTGAAGTGTGGTTCGTCGATATGCGTCAAGATGCAGCTTGGTGTGTAAAGGGTTGAGCAATTTAGAGGTAATTTTCCTCCCCGATCGTGTGTTCGCACCGAAAAGGATCTTCTTAAATTCAAGGTGATCACAATGGATCGCGAACTGGTGGAGAAGTTCATCGAGGTGACGGGTGAGTATCGCCCGTAGTGACAGAGCGAGAATAATGTTACTCAGGTTAAAAATCACGATTAGTCAACGGAATGCTCATCGCGTGGATGTAAACACACACGGTCCTTTACATCCCCTTACATCCAAATGAAATATATAACAGCTGTAATATAACAGAATATATTTTGAAACAACGATTCATTCATCATTTTTGCCAAGACTGTTACTCACAAAAAATAAAGGCATTTAATTTCGCACGATAAGATTTTATCAATTGTTTCACCCAAAACCGTTTCTCTCCCGTAACGAATATTAATTATTAAATTTTCACGATATCGATATATTCTAAGGATGATGTCTTACTCTGAACAGCCATAGCTATTGAGAAGTACCGCTGAATGTATATATTTCCATTAGGAGAGAGCGAGGCGACAGCACAGCAGTATCTGTCGTTAGCTGATGGCAATGTAGAGATGGCAATTAGTTTAATGTTTGAAAGTGGTAGACCATCGGAGAACGAGAATGTAAATCCTGAACCACCAGTGAGAGCTCCTATTTTGCCCACTCAAGAGATATTGGTGCCATCGGAACCAGTGTGTTCATTCCCACGAATATCAAATAATGTGTTCGACAGATTTAGAGATTTTGCAGTAGAAACTCGTACGTATAGCATGAAACATACGTTAATTGAATGTTAAAATACATTTATATTTTAGTTAATATAATTAAACATACAGAAAAATCACACAATTCTCATTGTTAACTTGGTTGACACAGAACGTCAGGAGGAAGAAATGACTCGTAGAGTATCTGGCATGAAACATATCTGTCAGAGAAAATCAAAACGTTTGGAAGATCTATTCCGGCCTCCGTGCAATATTCTTTTCCTGGGCTCTTTCATGGAGGCTCGAGACCATGCTAAAACCCTGAACCGTTGGTTGCTCGTCAATGTCCAAAATCCACAGGAGTTTTCTTGTCAAGTGCTCAACAGAGATGTCTGGCCGAACCAACAAATCCAAGAGATCGTGAAGGATCACTTTATCTTGTGGCAAGTATGTCGTGTCAGAATACGCTGTCACAGTATAATTCTCATTTCAGTTCGGTGAACTGTGGCTACATTTGCACTGCAGTCTAAACCAGTCTTAAGCTGCCGTGCAAACGTACATGCGCGCGTGTAACTCTACGCACAATTTTACTTTTATATCAGGTGTTGTCCAATACATCGGATGGCAGACGTTACATAGATTTCTACAACGTGATAGAGTATCCTTACCTGGCAATCATAGACCCCAGAACGGGAGAATGTATGAGAACCTATACTAACATCTCCGTGGACAGTTTGATTTCCGGCTTGAACGATATGTTGAGCACGCACGCGTCTCCGGACAGTGCATCGCACGATACGTCCAATTCTAAAGATTGGAACAACTTTCCCACATCGCCGCCGAAGCGAAATATCCTAATTGACCAAACGAAGAACGTTAGTATTGAAATTTCCTAACAAATAATTGTAACTCTGTAGATAGTAATTCTATCGTGACGTTTATTTTCTCAGGATTGCGGACCCAGCAGTAAAACTTCCAGACTTTTCTCAGAAAACATCACAGATTTGGGTTGGTACTCTTATCGTTTGCAGGGAATAATTTTAGAAAGTAGTTATTTGTATTAGTATATCAATTCGTTTGCTTGTCTCAAAGTAAACTGCATATCTCAACACGCAGTGTGTCTTTTTACTCGATTTATCAAATATTTGTATTATTGTGTGCACAGACAACGAAAATGCAGTGTCTGGTAATGCCATAAGCTCAAGTGTTCCAAGCAGCAGTAGTAGCGGCAGCGTTAATATTAGCGTTATTAATAGAAAAAGGAGGCTGGACGACTGTGAGGCTGATAAATCTCAGCAAAAGGAGGAAAAGACGAAGTCAGATACCGCTAAAGCTGGAACAAGTGAGTGTGATATCCTTATCATATAATTATGATATTCTCAAAGAATATATTTCTCACTTTACTCCATGAAATTACTTTCAAATTCAGGCGATGAACCTTTCCTACGGCTCTGCTTACGGCTGCCGAATGGCACGAGAGAAACTATATCGATATGCGCGACAGAGACTATAGAGGTAAGCGCTCGGAAATAATTTTTTTATAAAGTTGGGTAATAATTCAGTTAAAAGTTAGAAGTTAAAAACTTTTAACTTAGCTAAACTTAGTTACTTTTTATATATTAACTTCAACTTATTTACCTTTTTTTTTAGTTAAAATATTTCATATATATAGCTTTGCATGATTAACTTTTTACTTTATTTTCAACATTTTAATTTTTAACTTTAATAAAGCTAATTTCATTTTAATTTAACTCTTAATTGAGTTAATATTTTATTTATATGACTTTTAACGTAAACTTAGTTAATTCATAGCGATCAACTTTTAACTTGTTTAAAAAAAATATTAATTTACCTAACTCTGTCTTCTTGACACTACGGTATGTACAGGGAAGATACATCATTGCGATCTCGTTTTTAGGACTTCCTGATTAAAATGGAGGAAATGGGATTCCCACCAACGGAGCATACCTACCTGGTGCCATATCCGAAAACGAACGTCGGCGCGTTGTCTCCGAACATCCGTCTGTTAGACACCATTTTATTCCCGGCAAATACAGTGTTCATAACGAAGATATAGTAACATACCGCGAAACGAACTGCCCTTCCACTATGATTTTCCAACATGTATCTCAAGCGGAAATTCGGTTCGTAGAAATTGCGTACGTCGTGTGCGTATTTAAGAGTTCAAGAATTGCATCTGTTCGTCGGGAAATTATCGAGTAAGTCGTCGATTCGTCTCGACTATGTGTGTCTCTTCTATTTATTTAATTCCAAATTTAAAAGACGCGGTGTTGTTTGGAGACCGACGATGAACACAGTAAAGCACTGCCATTCCAGTGTTCAATTCGTGTAAGAACTTCGCTCGTACATATATATATATATATATATATTCGAAGTGATCTTTTGACTTTAGAATATACATTAAGATCTTAACTAAGAAAGGAAGATAGTTACGACGCGAGTATTTACGAGAGAAATCGTTAGTTACATACACTGTGTATACCTATCGTCTATAATCCACATTACCGTTAATAATCTCAGCATTACCGTCTCCCTCTTTCTTTTTTTATTTCTGGCCAATTTCACAAGTACCGTCCATATTGTGTACAGCAGTCTTGATAATTATTCCCAGCGAAAGTATTTCGATATGATGGCGCAAGCAACAAATCTGTATATCCTAGCGGATATATTTTATAAGTTTTTATTACGCAATAAACATTGCAATTTTATTACGTAATAAATCAAACATTTTGCGGCATTGTTCTATGCGATGTTTATGTAAAGAAACTTTCGTGAAAGAAACCAATGTGATTCAAGTGACGAGAACCAAGCAAAAAAGTTCATATTGCGGTGTATTGTAGCTATGAGATCAGTCAATGGTAACAATTCTATACATTGCCGATAGTACAAGATGTTATGTCAATGTACGATCTTCGTCGAGATTAATTAATCGGTTCAAACTTGAAACTGCCGGTATAATTAAGATAGATATTGATCGTGATATTTTACGAGTATTGATTGTGACTAATATCGACAGTATACTGGTGTTACCCATCGACTACAGTAACGATTTATGTGCACCATGCATCTGTATTTACATTACTTTTTCAATGTATGATAATGCATAACTCTATACTGTACAATATGGTAAGGAATGGTATCTCTTTGAATTTACGTCTCATATTATGTATCTATTAAACGAACATTAAATATAAGATTTAATTGAATTATACTGATGTTTCTCACATCGTCACTGTGTAAAATGTTCCAAACTACGATTTAGTGCGTGTGCATTGTAACAAGCAATTTTCATTATGCAACTAAGTGACAGGAGAATACCAATATTCGTGCACATATGACAAAATATGCATCTACCTTATTCGGCAGATTCCAAAGTTACAGACATATAACACAGTACATTATATTTTTGATCAGTCTTTTCAATATAACAAGGGATGTGATAATGCAGAATTTGAATATTAAAGTATTAAACGAGGATAAAATCGATAGTAGTGCAACAAGGTTTCTATGAAAACAACTTGCTACGTGTTACGTATATATTATTGATCTATATATACATTTATATATATATATATATACAAATTATTTTAAAATATCGGATTTTACATATACAGATATAACTTTAGTGACTTTGATTTGTAAGTATTGATATCACATATACATACGACACACTCAACACGTTTGGAATTGTTATAAGACGAGATTTAAAAATTATGTATATCCTCACTGAAAGATAACCCTGAAAGTATAAGTATCTGGAGAAAAAGATCACACAAGTCATGAATAAATTGATATAGCATGTCGTGCGGAATAATTTCTCGATCGTTCTCGGTTCAAGTCACAGATATCTGCTTAATTTGTATTCCGGAAATGTTGCGGACACACGATTCTTTTTGATTGGACAACCTGTTGAAAGTGGATATTCTCACCGCGATAACACTGCGCGAGATATAGCAGCCCGATTAGATCAGCAGTGGCGACAAACGTTAACGCTTACTGACGTTAACTTCTGTCAATTTAATTTATATACAACCTGATGCGCAAAGCAGGATATTAGTGAGGCGGTTGTATGAGAGATGTCTGTGCACGCATGGCGAAACCAGTCACGTCTTCTGTACAGTGGAATGAGAAAAGAACAACAGAATATTAGATATGAGATAAAGTACAACTCATAAATAATAGCGATCTACATTATTAACGGTATTAAATAAATGGTGTTGTGCTTTGCTAAAAATTAACCGTAAAGGATGATGATTATGAGTAAGGTGTGTACCTCCCAATCCATTTGTACAAATATGAATGTTAAAAAAATAAACTTAGCAAATACTGAAAGAGATTAAAAAGATTAAACGTCGAGTGAAATAATTAGTAAATATATAAATAATGTTTAAAATGCTTTTGTGATCTTTAAATGTTATGTGGTATGTGCCGTACTTTCAGATAATGCATGCTAACATATTTTTTTCTAACTAAGGAAGATAATTCACGTATTTTTATTCATATACATATCTCGATACATTGTATAACGATAATCATCAAACAGATCTTGTACGGAGAATCAACAACAATGGTATTTAATATAACTATACCGTCTACATTTTTTTCTTAAATTATATGCTTCTAGTAATAAACATACATTTGAAGACAATGCTCTGAGTAATATACATTTGCATATATATATATACATACACATAATGGGTCAAGTTATATTAATTGGAGAAAAATGTTTGTCCAAAAATATTACATACTATTGATGTTAATAAATAATAAGTTTCTTATATACTTTCATTCGCAATATCAGCAAATATATAGATAGAAATATATAGAGATTTCATTAAATATTAAATATTAACGTGATATAAGCATTTGTGAAACGTAACACGTACATATTAATTGTCCTTTAGTGACTAGTTAAAAAAATACGGTTTTACAATCAACATTATATTGCTTTCAGTTCTAAAATCATCTCTCAAGCACTGGAATCTCTTTCGCGACCAAATGCTATATTGTCCACAAGTATATCCATAAGAAAATGCATGGTAATATCTATGATACACAATATTTCATCAAGATTGCCTAAGATACCACTTGAAAATAGATGTCAAAGCGTCGTACTATATGGATTGGTATGAAAACTTTTATAGTGTTGTGTATACCGTGTAGTAAGAGGTTGTTAATTGCAAAGCATTTCCACTCAATCTATCTTAATGACTCGAAAACATTAAAATATAGAAATTTATGCAAAGAATTCTTCTTCCATACCGAGATGTTCCAGGAAAATACCCATCGGCGTGCGTTTCAAGCCAATGCCCTCGATTTTATTGACAAGTTTGTTCTTCATATTCCTTAATCTCAGTGATGCATGTACAAAAGTCACTGAATATATAGAAACAACGTAACACAAAGTTACAAAGGATATAGATTAAAGATAATAAATTGATTCCTATCAACTGCATGACGTATCTCTCTTTAATGTTTAATTGTCACTTACCACAAAACGGCAACAGTATGCCCAGAAAGAAAACAATGAGAGATCCCAGAGTATAAGTTAGAAAACATCCGGCAAGTATTATAAAAGTTATTCCGACAGCTGGATATCGTTTCTTAAAGTTATAAGCTGTGCTTCCTTCCATGGATACATAGATGAATACACCCAAGATGACCAGCATGGCCAACATACCAACTAGCATTTTAACAGGATGCATCAATCTGTGTGTATATATAAAGAATTCATGTAATAAATGAGGAGAACAAACACATATTTCTTTTCACATATAGAAAGCAGGATACTATTATATATTAAAATCAAAACTGAAAAATTATTAATATCATTAACTAAATAAAATATATTCCACAGGTGTCCCAGAATTTTGCGCATCTCCTGAAAATAATCTTATCAGTAAAACAATTATCTTATCGTTTGAACGCAAAACCAGTAAAGTTATAAGTGCTTGCTCCTTCAAATATTATACGAAATAAAATTGAATGTAACAAATGCTCCGAGATCAAGAGAGTTTTGAAACCACGTCAGTTTACGGAAAAAGAGCATTTGCACGAGCGGCAGCCACCACAGAGCCGCGAAAATTGGCAAACGCACTTACCCGACGACGAGGAAGATGATGACGGACATGAACAAGTAGTTGGTCTGATAGTACAGGAGATTATTGACCACACGGTTGCCCCATTTCTCCAGATCCTTCAGATTCGGTATTTGGAAGCGAGCGGAGCCGAGTAGGAAGTCGTCCAGGCTGCGCAACGGCGGCAGCTCCAAATCATTGCTCACCAGCTTCGTCTTGTCCATTGTTGTCGACAGTCTGCGCGCTATCGAGATATCGTCCGCCCTCTTCAAGGCGTGATCTCGCTCTAGCTAGACCAACCGGTCTTCCTCCACCTCCTCCTTCGTCTGTCTGTCCGTTCCCTTCGACCGGTACGTATTTTTGGACGATGACGAGTCCGGCACGAATGTCATGCGTGGCTGACGGCGCGAATCGGGAACGATTGATCGATTTGTCCCCGGATTCGCTTATCACCCGGGTCGTGTACAGCTCGTGAATTATCCCCCGAGGAAGCGGCGCAACGTGGCGGATTGGCCGGACGCCTATCTGTCTCCGCACTGTCCTCCGCGCGTGAATCTCGACAGCAGGTTGCCGCGATCGGTATTATTATAACGCAGCTGTTCCTCGTTCTCGTGGTTTCTCCGCACCTTCCGGCAGGTGGCGTAACGATGATGTCGCGCGGCAAGAACGGTCGCGGAACTTGAAACGCGCGCGAACAGCCGCTTCAAACGGTTCGCGGATTTTCATTATTCAACAAATACGCGTCGAACGCCCTTCTTCTTTCTTCTCTTCTTTTTTTTTTTATTTTTCGCGTGCTTGTTGTCACGCGAATACGGATAAATTTTTTATCGAACGGCGAGCTGATCTACTCTACCGCGTATTTTTTAAAACGTGTTCCACGGCAGTTTCACACCTGTAGTTCGCGTAGATTTGTTGACAATTGTACGTCGAACGAGGTTTTCTTCTTTTTTTTTTTGTTAATTTTTCAACACACACACGCGTGCTTACTGTACGCATGGATTTTCATGAATTTTTATCGAACGGCGGGTTGGATCGCCCGACCGTGACGTTTAAAACGCGTTCGAAAGCCGTTTCAAGCAGTTCGCGTTGAATTATCGATAATTATACGTCGAATGAACACCTTTTCTTCTTCAATTATTTAACAAGTACACGCGTGTTCACCGTCACGCGAATTTCAATAGACTTTTATCAGACGGTATGGTGGTTCATCATGCCGTGATATATCAAAAGCGTCCAAAAGCTGTTTCAAACAGCTCACGTTTAATTATTCATAATTACCGGAGATTCTTTTTTTTTTACGTCCATGTGTATTCGCTGCCACACGGATTTCGGTTAAATTTTTATCGGAACGGCGAGTTTGTTTGCCCTGCCGCGATGTTTAAAACGTGTTCCCAAGCCGTTTCAATTTAATTCGTATTAAATTATTTCTAATTACGTATCATGCAGAATTCTAAATTAATCTTTCAACATGCAATCACGTTTAACCGTACAAAATATACTCCAGTTATACTATATAGTGCTGATGTCGCGGACTAGAAAATGAAACCCACATACAGTTATCGTCGACCAGTCAGAGGTAACTAAAACGGATCGAATTTCCTCGAAAGTTCTCGTCATTTTCTCCGTGTTATGTTCTTTAAAATTAATTACACCCTGACAGGCTTGTGTCTTCGTAGATAACGTAACCATTTTTCATAGGCCGCTTCACCGTCCATCGAAATACCGATATCGGTGTAGAAAAAGGTTTCGTACATATTGCATGAAATTATCGTGCGAAGAGTTATTTTGTCTCTAGAAAGAGAAAAACGAGAATATGAGATAGATAAGTAATATGCAAAATGAGCGGAGAGAGCTGACCGGCTAGCTCCTACAATTCCAGTGGAAGTTTAACCGCGGTTTCTCGCGATTTTTCAACGATCATAGGAATAACTTACATAACAATGCTGCAATAATGATTACACAGGGGACACGTATATTCCTCGTTCTGCAATTTCCAACGTTCAATAATTTCGCATCGCATCCTCTCGGTTACCTGAAACATTTGTACACGGTTATTATTTCATCTTCAGTTCGCAATGTTTTGGTTACACGTAACGTACCTTGAATAGAAGTCTCGTGACTATATTTAATTATGTATAAACATGTGATGACTCTCGTAATTGTACTTATGTGTTGTATAACAATGTATATAATTACTTGTTTCGCATAATCTTATCTTAAGGACTAATCCTTAAATCTTGCATATGATGTATGATACAGAAAAAAGGTGCAACGCAAAATATACTTTCACCAAGAATGTATCTTTCGAAATAACGATGACGCCGAGTATCTTTTGTGTCAGAAAAATACCCGAATCATTATTAAAAATAGTTACATTCTCATTGCTTTCACTTAACCGTTAATTTTCCCGAGGCGATATTGATATATCTTGTAAATGAGATAATCGAGAGTTATGTGACGCGCGAACACTTTGTTAGAAATATGATTACTGACCCAATCGTTGGAACTGGCGAAATAGTAACTTACTGACTTATGTACTTTTTGTTCCTCTCGCCATATTTCTGTTGTTATTTCTATAACGTTGTTTGTTTTGACTTTTTGCAAAGGTTAAATAAAGCCGTTTGTATCCTCTTTGAAATAACACTCGACGTTCGTTACAAGATGCGCACGTACGTGTGTTCGTGTGTATTATATCATAGGATTGGGTAAATTTATTTCTTTTTTAACTAAATTAAGTTAAAAATTACATAAATAGAATACTAACTCAATTAAGAGTTAGGTAAAGTGAAATCAGTTTTATTAAAGTTAAAAATAAAGTTGAAAGTTAATTATTGCAAAGCTATATATGAAATATTTTAACTGAAAACACAAATAAGTTAATGCATAAAAAGTAACTAAGTTAAATTAAAAGTTAACTCATTTAAACTTGACTTTTAATTGAATTAGCAAGTTACTACCCAACCTTGATTATACCACTACTGCTACATTAAATTTATTCTTACACACGCTTTCTCTCTCAATTTCATAAAAAACATTATTCAATATGCAGATATTCGCTAAATACAATCATATAATTTTGCGTTATTTATAAGGTAAGTAAATTTTATTGTTAGAAAGTGTATTGCGCATATATTTGACATACGTATAATGCGATATATGAAATTAAATATTAATAACACGCGATAATTTCTGCACCCTGTTGAGTAGGAGGTCCCCTTGCTTCACCATGGCTTGATACTGCCAGTTTTTACTGTCCGGTCGATTGGTTTCGACCACACCTCCAACTCGATCGACTTTGCAATGCAATCTCCCTGCTGCTATGAAGCGCGACAATTCTCTGTAAAATTAATTCAATAATTAGTGTAATTCTGTATACCTTTTAAAAGCTAACTGCTATTGATAACGCAGCTCCGTAACATTTATTATATAATTACGCAAAACAGCGGAACGGAGCAAAATAAGCGTGCATACAATTTTGCAAAATATATAATGTACATGTTAATAATAAAATAATCAAGTTCTAATATTGCATCAGTGATATAGAGATATACGCAGAATAGATTACTTACTGATCGATGTACTCCACTGTAACACCAAATGCTTCGGCCATATACTGGAGGGTCAAAGACCGGTAGGATTCCAGTAGTTGCGTGTACGCGAGTATGCGCATCTCTCGAACGTAATACCGATAATGCGGAAATACCAAGTAATCTCGGCGCAATAATCCTTCAACGTGTGCTGAAATGATATCACCGTTCACGACATAGTCCTCCGAAAATAAGTACAAAAAGTGGCAAAGTAAAAATGTCATCTATCGATTTACCGAGATTCTTGAAGAAGTCCGCGTAATGGCAATTATACAACGAAAACAAGTAATCCTTAACGTCCGAGTTGCTATGAAGAACCTCTAGTATCTCAGATCCCTTAATGATTTTGTCCCTCAGCTCGTTGCGCGGGAGGCTTATCATACTCAAGTATACGGTGTATCTCACGAACGTATTGTAATCCATAAGTTCGTAACTTGTGAACGTGCTAATTGTGTCCAAGAAAAAGTTTGCAGCTTCCTTAAAGTTGCGCACCGCTATGCAGTATGTTCCTTGATAAACCTTTAGACGGTTTCGTCTGTCCCAGTCGCCACCTTCCTCTATCAGGCTACAAAATATACATACTAATATTGTTGGAAAATGCATCATGCTTATTATGAATGACAGTTTTCTCGCTTTTACCAACCTCTTGGCCTTTTCAATATTTCTAGTAATGTGATCATGATCCAGATAGAACAGACCAATCCTAATATTGTGAAATACGATATCTAGCCTGTGCCCTAAAGATACTGTCTTGTCGTAAGTTTTCCTAAATGCTGAAATTGCACCTTCCTTATCACCTATTCGGCATAGGTATTCGGATTTCTTCAAGTTAGCTTCCCGAACCTCCATCTCGCCTAAATTTTTCTCAGCATCTTCTATAGCATCGTCGAGCTTCTTCAATTGCTCCGTATTGTGTGCCTTCATTGTTGAAAGAAGCGTATCATCTACCGACCAGTCCAAGTCTTTACACACCTCTTCGTAAAATGGAGCCATGTCTGTTAAATAAAAGGTGATAGCTAATTATCAATAAATGTTACAGATTGTTGCGATAAATTAAGAATTCTGTTGTATACTATTATAGAATGGATCGAGTCGTTGATTGAATAAGGTTACGCGATGACAGATGACATATCTCTTCAACAATCAAGATAAAAATAGTATATATAAAACTTATTTTCTTATATAAAATTAATTATGCATTCGTAAGTTACGTTAAATTCTCGCGAAATAACATAATAAGTAGTGAGAAAAAAGATGCAATCTCACTATCGGCTTTGATGGCATCCAAGAGTTTCGTCTTCAGAAAATGGTCATTTCTGTGCTCAGGAAGACTCAGCAGGAATTTAGTTTGCGCCAATTCCAGATTCGGATTTTTCTCCAAACCTTCCTCTTCCAAATTTTCCAACGGCATCGTGAACTTTTATACAATCAAAAACACCTGATGTGTATAATGAACCGACACTTTTTGTGTGTCTCAGACATAGGTTATGAAAGGCCTTGATGCACTTCGTATTGCTCCCAGTAGAGGCCACACTCATCGATTTAGTACACTCAATCCGATAGATGGAGTCACTAAATTTAAATGTTATATTTTAATTAAAATGTCTCGTCAGTCAGTTATTCTTTCCTTCGCATTGTACATCGTCTAATCTTTTTAGAAACGTGTCTCACAATTGCAGCATCTTGTGGTTATAAAAAAGATGCAACGAGGAACAGCCTCGTTAGATACGGGTAAGGTATCTTTCGAATAATAAAACTTGTTTAAAACAATTTAGTAAAATCTGACCGTAAAATAAAGCGGTATTTAAAACGAGATGTTACATATTGAAAAAACGCTGAAACGAAACACAACGTTTCCGTGCAAAAATTTTGCAAAATGCATCTCTGATTTCGTGAATTTCGTGAATTTGATAGGGCTGATTAATTTTCATTTCTTATTCCAGGTATACAACGAGAGGTGGAGAGAAGCCGAGGTTACGGCTGAATAATCAACGCATTCCACTTGTTTCAACGAATCAATTTATTTTCTTTGACACAAACTGCCACCGACTCTCAGATAAGGTGAGCCCAGAGAAAGAGAAAAGTCTGTCTCCACAGGATTCGTTTAATATGTTAAAATTTACAAGAGGGGTGTGTGTTGCGTGAGAGATGCGTATTTGTTCGTTTCTGTCCTGCAGCTGTTCTTTTGCAGCTTGGTCACGAGAAAATAACTTCGAGGTTCGTCTTGTTCTATTTAAGCTATGGTCTTTTCGCGCGACTCTACTTGGAATTTTCCCTCAACAATGATGGGTCATTTCATGATTGCCTCCCTAATTTTGCCTAACTTCTATACTTTCTCTCTCTCTCTCTCTCTCTCTCTCTCTCTCCCCACAACGGATAACGGAGGAATTATTAGCTGCGAGACACGCGGAACAACAACAGCAAAAGTTGACTCGTAGAAAAAACGCACAGACCCTGATTAATTAGCGATTCTTAACTGTGGTCTCGTTTACAGTCTCATTTGCCAATTTTCCTTTTTCGTGGTTTTTCATTATTTGGTCTCTTTTTCTCGTCTTCCTTTTTCGAAGCGATCGATGCGATACAAGGACGCGATTGGACAAATGTCGGCCTCGTCCTTGTAAGCAAAGTGTAATCGTTGTTCTTGAACATCTTATTTTCCTTTAAGCATGACACACGTCCAGCATTTAAGGAGTCCAGCTACGCTTAGTGATTCTTTAATAATTGTGGTTAAACGCACGTATAAGTGACTTCGCCTCCTTACTTCTTAATTCGACTCGGTAATGGGCTATAGAGGATTACTCGTTAAAACATTAGCCTCATTAACGGGAAACGACGGGTGAGGATGTCGGATTTTTCTTTTCTTTTTCTCGCGCACACGGTTGTGCGCGATTTTGGACAAGAGAAATTTGGATCACTTCCTTCACGATCGAATGATTCGTTTTGAATTGATCGTACACGCATGTGTGTGTAATTGAAGATTCTCGGCATTCGGAATGAATATTTGCGTCTGTAACGCAGATATTGATTGAGAATGTCCGTCGGATACTCGTTGGACCTCCGAATATCCCGCAGCGTCACCCGTATATATGTATAACTTAATAAGTGGAAAAAAAGTTTCACGAGTATAATGCCCGTTTCTATCATTGTAATTTAAATCTAATCGACGATTAATTCAATAGAACTGACCAATCGCATTGTGTCGTCAATTAGCTGAACTGATCAATGCAATCGGTCAATTTCGTCGAATTAATCGTCGATTAGATTTAAATCATGATGGTAGAAATGGGCATTAGGGACACACAAAATCATCGATATTTGCGACGATTACGCGTCAAAAGTATCTCCACATCAGTCGTGATCGGGCATTTTGTTTCTCAGGTAAAGAACACCATTGCTTCGGATTTATATATCAGTAGTGTATTTGTAACAATTTATTTTCACATAAAGTGTCGTAGCATTGACATCATAGTACTGACGGACATCCAGATTTACAGAGTATTGCGGGATACTCGGGTGTATCCATTGAGCACCCAAATGAAACGTCCCCCCCATCTCGAAGGAGATCTGCGTGTTCGGCTTACGGGGTCGGGCGGCAAGGAGCAGAAATTTTCTAAGTCGAGCATCCGTCACCCTTCCTTCCCGCGACACATTCGTAGGAGCGATGAATATTCGAGAAGTACATTCGTTAATTCGAATACAGAACACATCTCGATTAGCCCGAGCGATCGCGATCCGATCGACGACAACGGCGATGAGCGACGGTGACGGGGCGGCGGATCGACCGATCGTTCGGACGCACACGTAGATACACTATTACGTTTAATTAGTAGGTAGAATAATAGAGGTTCGAAGCGATTAAAAAATATGTCGGAGGCCGGAGTGCCGGCCCAAGCTCTCTTACTCGCTCACTTACTCCTGGATTTTGTTTCTCTCTTTTTTGTTTTTTGCTTTGTTTATTCGACACGTTCAACAGCGAATCCACCTTTTTTTTTATATATCTGTATAATATATAATATTTATACTTAATAATAAAGTCCCTTATAGCGATCAATTTACAATCAGTTAATTTGATTAATCGAAGAGTCAATTAATTAGTTAGTGATGGCGGATCTCGCCGGTCTCAACTCTCTCTCTCTCTCTCTTTCTCTCTTTCTCTCTTTCTTTCTCTCTCTCACTCTTTCTCTCTCTCTCTCTCTCTCTCTCTCGGTCGGGAGAACCGGCGGGAATACATATTTTAATCCTCGTCCCTCTCGCATTTCGAATCGATGAACGTTTGCGCGGACTAACACACCGACATGACATCTATATTCTTGGCCGCCGCCCGGAGTCGGATTGGATTCTGAAAAACATCTACTACAATACTTCGATCGCGTACGTACGTACTCGCGTGACTCGCGTGTGAGTGCGTTTGAGGCCGATGGAACGAAAGAAACATCTATAATAATATAGACATCAGTTATTATATCAACGATTCTTCATTCTATACCCTGTGCATCATCTTAAATGTCTCGACACATCCTATGTGTGTGTTGCTCTCGCGCGCTTATCCTTACATATTTATATTCAATATATAATATATTTATAGAGTTTATTTATAATATCTATATATATATATATATTTATATTTATATATTTATATATTTATATCTGTATATATATATATATATTTATATAATCATGCCAGATGCGTCACTTTACAGCGTCGGTCAGCGACAAAGGAGGATGTCGATTTAATAATGCCAGCTATTAATACCTATACGACTGAGTGTAAGTGTAATTGTACGTGTGTACACGTGTTGCGTGTGTATGCGTGTACATTTGCATGTTCGTGTTATGATCGTATTTAATATATAGTGACTTTCGGCAATGCGAAACGCATAACAGAATATAATTAACGAGACAACGTAACGCGACTATGTTAACGACAGTAACATATGTAACTCCACAGCGATATCGAGTTCTAACGATAAATAATAATCAGAGTTGCAACGAGAACGGCGATGGCTGTTGCGGGCGCGAGGTACGAAAGTGTGGCGGGCGTGATAAACAAACGTACGAGTAGTCTCTTCCTTCTGCCTCCCGTTAGGACTTACGTCTTACATTTAAGTGAGCTCGGTATCCGGTTGCGCCGGTGTTCTTACTTAGACTTCTAGATTCAAATATTATAATTCGGTCGATCGTCAGCGGATCACTATTCCGCACGCGTTAAAAAGGCCGGTTCTGCCAACGTCGGTTACAAATGTCTACCGCGGTGCAATCGATCCTTCCTCCCCTTCCGGTCCCAGAAGGAGATGAAGAAGTCACTCTTCTTCATCCGAGAGTCGCGAGAGTCGGACGCATCCAAGAGAAACTTTTAATGCTTAAAAAATTATTAAGCAAGCGATATTTACTATGCGACGATTCTTTTGACAAAAATCGCACCCGCACACTACGAATTTTATCCTATTCGCTCACATGTAACACGGTTTGTGCAACGCTTGCATGTCAAGAAATAAGGGAGACAAGACCGCGTAGTCGGGAAAGAATTCGCCCGGATATAAGGATTGAACTGCGGTGTTAAGTCCGACCGACATTGATAAAAGCGGCTGTTTCCTACGATTATAAGGAAACACCGGCGCAATCGGCTGGCTTCGCCTTACTATGTGCAGTAACCTTAACGATACGATGACGATAACGATTAATATTTACTCTGTTAAAAAAGCCCACGAAACTCACATAAGTGGTGAGCGCAAACGGGGCGTGGCTCGCAGTTCGCAGCTCGATGATATCTTCTCTTTGCATTCAGGTCTGCCGAGACGGTGGAGTTCCCTTCCTACGAAGTTGCGTTCGATGCTCTCTCAGCCGTTTTGACGCGATCGGAGGGCCGAATCGCGTCTCGCGAATCGGAAGAGCTTCGACACTTTTGCTTTGAACTGCAGTTGCGGCCTCGAGTGCAAGCATCAGGCAAGTCTATTTTTGTCAGCTATCGATCAGGAATGTACACGCGAAAATTCGATTAAAGCAAAAGCCGATTGCTACGAAAATCGGTCTACCTTATGAGAGTCAAACACGCGTCTGAAAGTCGTCGGGGCCGGGTTGTTACGGGGGAAACGTACGGTCTTCCCCGTTATTTTGGCTTCTTCCTATGGCGCAAAAGTCACGATTCCCTTTGGTTTTGCACTCAGAGTGTCAACTGAGTTCTCGGTTATGGCACATGCTGGTCGCAACCCTTCCCGATTCGGCTTTGTGTCGCACTCGCTAATACAATCTGATTCGGCCCAGCGATTCGCCGTTTATTGCTCGTAAGCTTTCGTGTACAGAACAGAGGAGGTAAATATTGTTGAACGGCCGCTTGGTGAAAATCAACATTTGCAGTTTTCACTCAAACGGTTGACCCGGGAAACCTGTTGTTGTAATGATTCGACGAAGAAGCGATTTTCGTCGGAACGATCGCTCAACAAACGAGTACATCGTCGACGAATCGTGGAAAATTAAGCGAAATTCAAATGAAAACGACAATGTGGCAACGAGACAAACGAAACTCAAACGAGCGAGATAAACAACAGCGTATCTTTTGTTCGCAGGAACAAAGAAGATCCGCTCGCTCGCTCGTGGAGGTTGACGCAAACGCGTTGTTAACCAAGAGGTAAGTGACCGGCGATGCTTCCACACACGTTGAGCGCAAAAACGTAGACGATTGATCGGTGACCGCGTTCTTAATCTATCGCCGAAAATTCAGACCGGAATAATTTCATGAATTCAATTCCCTCCTCGACGCCGCGGGTACGCGAACACACCCGCGAGAACGGGACCCTCAAGTTGCCGAGTGTCGCGCGCGCGTCTCGCGTACACGCGATTAAATATCAAGATCGTTGTCGCGCATCTCTGATATTCAAACGTGAAATCAGCAAAATTACACCGATATCAATTGCTCTGCCTATAACTGTATAATCGCGAACGTGGACTGACGGAGACACGATAGAGTTGTACGTTTTTTTTTTTTCACAAGGATCTCGATTCTCCCGTGAATTTTTCATACTTCATACTTCCCGTGAGAGACACAGTCGGCGCGAAGAGTGACAGTTAACACCACAAGAACCGCGGTTTGGGACAACGATAGCGTATTCTGAGGATATGAAGAGAGACAATATCGATCTCGTAAACACGATGCACTCGGTGTCTTCATCGTGCAACATTACTTTTCAAGTTCTCGCGAAGGATGAAAATTGTGCTAGCCGACTTGCCCGTCCGAGTGTGACGACTCGGCGGCCCCTTTGATGTTAAAAGTTCGAAAAATCGTGCGAATATCGCTCTTCTTCTTCAACAGAAAGAAGAAAACAATAATATTTCACGTATATCTTATCCATGTTAAACTGATCGAGCAACCAATTTATCGAGGGGCATAAAGACCAACTGTTCCGACGATGTAGGAACGTAATAACGGTCCGAGACGCGCGTTAAACAATCAAACACGCAATATATAGTAATAACAACAATAACAAGCCAACAATAGTATAAATCGCAGGTGCTGTATACAAAACGCATAAGTAAACGGTGCCGCCATTCCTAATCGGTGCACGGTGTCACGGATATTCTTCGGGAATATCGGCATACCGTGCTAATCCTAAACGGTGCCGTAGGAGAAACGCACACCTTGCATCGATCTTCGCGCATTTCACTCACTCATTAAACGCGGATAATATTTCGCGTCGATGCCATCGAAATTCGAACCCTATCGAGATTACACCTGTTCCAAGACCCGGTGATTTTCCGTCACATCGTGCTTTACTCCAAGTTTGTACCGCGACGTTATCTCTTATCGGCTTTTCGAAGGCGGCGTATCAATTGCAGATCTCTCTCTCTCTCTCCCCCCCTCTCACACACTCACTCACTCACTCACTCATTCTCACTCGCTCTTTCTCTCTCTCTCTCTCTCTCTCTCCTTCCCACCTTTATTTTGCGCGAAAGCTCGCAGCACTTCGTATTCCGATCTTGTGATCCTTTGAAAACACGGAAACACGGTTTCGGAGGTAAAGCCTCGAGCGTACATAGGGTAATCGGCGATGATCGATGTCGGGCGATCGATGGGGCAGGAGGGAAAAAGGGACACAGCGCAATTACATGTTCAGCTCTCGGCTACGTCGGCCGAATTCGTAATCGCGATCTGCGCGACGTTAAGGTCGCCGTTTATCGTCACGGTTATCGGTCTTTGCGTGCGTGCGCGCGTATGTGGTATATAGGTGTGTATTGTTTGACGGTCGGATCGGTACAGAACGCGATCGGCGAACCTAATCTAGCAAAGGCTTTTTTTTTCCATTCGTTGCGTGCGCTGCGGTCGCGTTTCACGAGCAGTTTCCCGTTCTCGAGCCGCGCGCCCGTAATTACTCACGGCATCATCGCATATCGAGAGCGAGATAAAAAGAAAGAAAAAGGATTAAAAAGAGAGAGGAGGAGGGGGGGAGAGGGAGAGAGAGAGAGAGACAAAGGCAGAATGACGAAGTAGAAGCAGGATGTAGGAGCAGGGAACAGGAGGGGGAGGTGCGTTCAAATGAAAGACAGTTGCGTAGACTGTCCCCTGATTGACGCAAGGTGAACATGCAGCGTCACAAAATTTAAGATCTATTCCTCTTCAGCGTCATTGAAGAAGAGCTGAGATTCAAACTCTATCTGAGTAATGTCCACTTTGAACACCGGATGACAGATCCGTCATCAGTACCGTGGCGTCGACGTTCCCGATCGGGGAGAATAAAATCTAAATTTCACAAGTCAACCTCACGTGCACCTCGCTTTACGTCAATCCTGAGACGCTCTGTGTAAATGTGTGTGTGTGTGTGTAAAGTTAGACAGAAGAAGAAAGAGAAGAGATGGTACCACGGGATATCGGTGTACCAAGACGCCACAGAGACAGACGGACAAACAGACAGACAGACAGTGAGCGAAAGAGCGTTCGCGAAGTAGCATCTCGCCAACGCTTGCGCTTGAGTAGCTCGCGGGCGATTCCAAGGGGGAACGACGACGACGACGAGACGACGACGAGAAGACGACGAGGAGACGACGCGCGACGACGGTGTGCCCCTGACGTTGAGTACGAGCCTAGACGTGTGTAAAAATACGTAGAAAAGATAAACGCGGCTGCGCGTGTGTCGCTCGCGCGCGGGAGGCGATCGGCAGGCGGGGATTAATAGGGGGAAGGGATGGGGGGGCTAGGGAGGGAGGGGGGATGACGAAGGGGCGGTGGTGTGGTTGGGCGGTGAGAAACGCGCTTTACATCGATTATCATACACCGTCGTAGGAGAGGTCGACCGGCGGTCTGTGGTGCGACGGGAGGTAGGACGGCGGCGTGGTGGTGGTGCTGGGTGCCGCGCTAGCCGTGCCGACGTAGCCGGGGTAATTGGCGCTCGGGGCGTGTATGCCAGCCGGTGGCGCCGGGTAAGCGTCGAAGGAACTCGAGTACGAGCCATTGTACGGGTACGGATTGGTCATGTGGCCGAGAGCGGATGCCGGGTGCATGCCGCCCATGCCGCTCATGCCGCCGATCCCGTAGGTGCGTTGCATCAGGCTTGACTCGAGACCGCTGAACAGGTAGCCGTTGGTGGAGCCCATCGGCACCGGATAGTGCGGCCCGGGTATGATGTTGGGGTACGAGTTACCGGGATGGCCGTGGTTCATGCTGGGTGTGTAGTTGCTAGACGCCAGGTTCTCCACCGTGTAGGACTTGCTGTGCTGTTGTTGCTGCTGCTGCTGATGCTGTTGCTGCTGCTGCTGCTGCTGTTGTTGCTGCTGAGACTCCTGATGGTGACGGCCGTTCATGCCGTACAAGCTGCCGTAGCCGTCGCTGGGTGAGTGGTGCAGCGAGCCGGGATAGATACCGCCACCTGGAGCCAAGGGCGGGCTGTAATTGGTCATCCCGCCAGTTGACTGCATACCACCGAAACCGGCCATGTAGGACTGATGGTGAGCGTCCATCTTCTCCGCCAAACTGTCGTCCGGCATGCCCGGGTGGGAGTGTTGCAGCCGTTGGCTGCCGCCACCATCGGCTATGCTCGGTATCTGGTCCACGAGGGACTCCAGGTCGCTGAGACTCTTGGACGCCACGTCTTGGGCGGAGTTCCTCTTGATACCGTACTGCTCGTGCGGATGGTGGTGTGGCGACATGGAGGCCACGTGGGTAGGCGTGTGCGGGTGTGTGTGCGGCGGCGTCGGATGGGAGTGATGGGAGTGCTCTTCGGCGGTCTGGCTGAGCGGCGTCGGCGTCGTCTGATGAGGGTGCGGATTGTGCGCCTCCGGCGTCTGCTCGTGGTAGCCCATGTAATTAGCGTAACTGTTGTGGGACGGTGTCCCGGGGCTGCCGTGATGCCCGGTGGCGGTAGGGTCAGGCCCCGGTCCGGCAGGGTTGTACTGGCGATGGTCGTTGCCCATGTTCTGCTGCGACATGCTGGTGGGCGGCTCGAAGTCCGGGTGCTCCACACTGGGCGACGTAAGCGGTGACGGCTCCAGGTTGTTCTCCGACGAGATCGCGGTGTTGATCTCCGACGACAAGTCCGAGTGCGTGAACGACAACGACATGGACTTGGGGCTCTGGCTGTAGTGCTGGTGCAGGTGCACCGGGCTCTGCTTCGCGCTCATGTTGTACGGGCTGCTGTCCTGCATGCTCTGGCCGAAGAAGCCGGAGTCGTTCATCGGTTGAGGATACGGAGCCATGTGCGGAAACGTCTTCGGTGGTGACATCAACGGCGGTGAGAAGCAGTTCGAAACCGCGTTGCCGTAGCCGTCGTTCAGGTGGCCCATCGTCTGGTGCTGCTGTTGCTGTTGCTGCTGCTCTCTCTCCCGGTTCTCCCGCTCCAGCTGCTTCTGTTGCTGGTGTATCTTCTTCGGGCGGCCGCGCCGTTTCTTGATTACCTCGCCGTTCGCGTCCAGCTTCTCGGGATCCGGCGGCGGCTGGTCCTCCGGATTCTTGATCTTCTTCGGCCTGCCGCGTTTTTTCTTGCCAGGTATCTGCACACCCGACTCCTGCTTCACCCCCGTGCCGTTGATCTCCGCGATGCGGCCCTCGCCATCGACCACCAAGTCGTCGTTGAACACCGGCTTCTTGTCCTCGATCGCCTCGTGCTCCTTCTTCTTGAGCTTCGAGTCGGCGAAGACGATGTCCGACTCGTCCAGATGCGAGATCGTGCCGTTCAGATAGTCGCGGAACTTCTTCAGGGCCGCATAATACGGCACCTTGTCGGCAGCCCGTGGCAATTGGGCACACCTCGCGCTGCTCGAAGGCATCACCCACATGTACTGCAACGAAACGTCAGATACGTGAGAACATCGCGACGAGCTCTCGATCAAATTCAAATGATGGTTCTTCAACGAGCCTCCGTCGGAGATGTTAGCGCGAGAACAAGATGTGGAAAGTTGCCTTACCGTATTTGTACCCTCGACGAGGTTTGGCTGTCTTCCGAATCCAAACTCCTTCTTCCCCGAGAACACCTCGTATATAAGTTTGCCGTTGAACACGGCAATTTTTGGCTTATACTTTCGTAACTTCTCGAGCAGGATGTGGCTACCTGCAAATAAAAATAACGATAAGTCACAATGCTCTTAAGCTCACTAGAACGATCAGCGAAACGCACGTAGTAAAAAATACTTTTGTACTTTTATTAAAATCGGTCCTCGTTAAAATTCTTGTGCTGAATCTTTAACATACCCGTGCGTTAATTTAACATATCGCGTTTATGTTATCTTTTGTGTTGCGTTGATATTCGACATGTGTAAATGTTAAAATAACACATTTTACACTTCAGCGTCGATTAATAAGTATTCGTTTTGTGTTAATTTCTGGAATAATATTTTTGTTATTTTTCAACATATTCACCTTGTGTTAAATTAACATGAAAATTTGAGTAGACCGTTTGGGACATGTGGAATGTGTTAACACAACAAATTTTTATTGTATATGCCGAGAAAAAAAAATTGAAATTTTGCGAAGTAAATGTTTCTTGCGATATCTTCTTCGATATTTATTGGTTAAAAAAAATTTGACCGTGATATGACGACATGTATATTTTTGTGGAATATATCCGAGTTTTCTTGTTAATTGGTTTATTTGCTAGGAATCAAATTTTATTTAAATGTTTACTTCTGCGAAATAAATCTTATATTTCACAAATAAATTTTTAAGTCCTTTTTCCCCATGTAGACCCGCCTGTGAAATACCTCTCAGGTAGAACAGAAAATCGTGATGACGTCAAGATGAGAAAATGAACTGTAAAAACTATAAAAACTCACATTTTTCGATCATTTCATTTTCTCATCATTTGTGTTATTTCATCATCGTTCTCTGTTCTACCTCGAAATTTCGCGTAAAAAAATTTTAAAGTCTCAAATCAACCGTTATTCTCAGCGCATCGATCGTGCGATAGTTCTGCTGTGTTAAATTTTTCCCGAACTATCACGCGCTAATCGGTGAACGCAATTAAACGTATTAACGAAACCTTAAGTACCACCTTTATCGGCGCACTAATTATATTTAAAATGATGAGCGAAGTATCCGACTACTCCGCACATTCGCGCGCCCGAGTATTTTCGAATTCATATTAATTTACCGAACATTTACCTTTCGGAAAGAGGACACCGGTTATATTAAGTTCCAAAAAGAATACTCCGGATATTACATTAATGTTATTATAATTCCGACGATACAGACAAACAACACTTCTCGCTCATTACGTCATCATCGAGACATGATATTGCAATTGAAAAACATTTGGAAAAAAGGAAACCCCAGAAAAAACATTGTTGCCAGAAAGAGCGGTGCATTTGAAAGCTTGTTTTATAGATCGTCCGCAATTTAAATGATCGACGACGATCACCATCACCTCCACAAATCGTGATTCTCGTGTGATTTCCCCATCCTTCTCCCGTTGGTCGGAGGTACTTTTTAATTTTAAAACTTTTCCGCGATTAGATCGATATCAGGGAGAGGCCTAGGAGGCTATCGATAATCGAACTCTCGCCATAAGGCGACATTTTCGGACTGAGGGGGGCCACCACATCACTCCATCTCCTATGGAGCCGCGAAATGCCTTTGAGAACGCGAGCCAACCGGCAAGTTGGCAGTACTGTCGTTTCCCGCGTCGCGTGCACACATGTCGGCGGTGTGCGAGTGATCGGCCGTTAAAAATCTCGGTTGGGTTAGCCTAGGAAAGAGGAAGAAGTGGGTGTGTGACCAGCGGAGACGCGCAGGAAAGGATGGACTGGGCCTTGTCGTCGACCGGGGAAAATGGTCCGTCATTTCCGACCAGCGTCGATCATTCGGACCTACGTAAGTACACCTGATCGCGATCGATGAGCTCTTTCCCATGGAATATCACTCTCACACATGAAACACAGACCCGTCCTCGACGATGCGTGCAACAAAGACGAATTATAACAGAAATGGCGTCGGTGGGTTTCTTTTTCGGAGAGATGCTCGACGCACACTGTTTGTTTTCTTTCGAGCCGGTCGAGAGAGAGAGAGAGAGGAAGAGAAAGAGGCGCCTCTCTCAGCGTCTCTCATTTTGTCGCAGGGACGTACAACAAGAGCGCGGGCCGGTTGGTAAATAATAAATATCGCCACCGACGGGAATGTTCGCTAAGAACAAATTAACAAACGTGCTTTCTCCTTCATCGCAGAAGATTACGACTACCGTTGAATCGGCACGTTTAACTGGATTTCTATGAGCCAAGCGGCGCCTATATTAGGTTATAAATAACCTATAAGGTTATAACTGTTTTGTTATTTTACAATATGCACTTTCTCGCGATTTTTCCCCGCTCATTTCACGTCACGCCGACTCTTAAACGCATACCGTTTACTTTCCTTCGAGCGCAGGAGCAAAGGAGCAGATCTGTCGTCGGACTCGAGATTTTTACGAAAATGTTCCTTCGAGCCGAGAACGCGTCGGAAAGTTTCGAAACTCTCGCGAAATCTCGCTGGAGGAAAACGTCAGCGTTTCAAGCACTCGAAGGGTCCGCGCAACGTCCCGCTCATTCTCCCGGCGCAGCGTTCAATCACGCATAAAAGGCTCATTGTGGCAGCAGTTCTCCAAGTTGATCTTGTTTCATGGAAGATTTTTCGAACGTTTCGCCGACTGTCCGCTCCGTATCGCATGCGCCTTAGCAACGAGTTGCACTACTAGACGTTCGTAGTTTACGCACACGCGACGTGCCTTTGAATGTTTTTTTTTCCTCTCCACGAAGCGATCAGGGAGAGCCACGTATACCTGTACATCAGGTTAAGCAGAAGTGAACGGTTAGGTCATGACGGATGTAGCATATAAAGATCGGCCTCGGCACAATGCAGCAAGATTCGGTCGTCGAGTCCACTTTGGGCGGCTTTCGGAGTAGTCGGCACGGTTTTTCGAGTGTCTGCTTACAAATGGGATCTCAACCGGAATCCCGACGCGAGTTGCAAGCCGCCCAAAGGCGGCCTTTAGAAGCGGGGGTCAAGCCCCCGTTGCGAACGGCACCAGGTAGACGCGCGGAAAAATTAAAATTCGGAAGACGAAGCGTGACAAAGTTCGCGAACTTGAGTCCGGCATATAACGCGTTATTCTCCTTTCGAATGAAAAAGCACGAAGTGTCTATTTCCTTCCTTTCGTCTTTATTTTTACCGCACATGTATGCGCCGAGCGATCCCGCTATCCTATCAGAGCGGAATCACTCGTGGTGACTCGGGCCGGCGCGCGATCGGTGAACGAAACTTTATCAATTCTTAACGTAACACACGTGTGTCCACGGGACGTGTACACGGTTCAACCGTGTCGGCGTTTAGGTTAGAATATACCGTATTGTTTCCGAGGCCAGTAGTACCAGTCGCTCCGGAAAAGGGGCGGACTAGTTCGCGTGAATGAATACGATTTCGATTTTGACTGTCCCCTGACAATGTAATTTTCTCGTGAAATAATTTAACGAGCCTTAAGTAATTTTCGATTGGAATATTTCTAACGTTAATGACGGTAAAGCCGCACCGAGAACGAAGATTCATGAAATTCACATCGAGGTGTCAATTAGCGTGAAATATTTCGCGAATTTGATGCGATCAAAATATTAAATCGCGACGAGATATACATATGTACATGTGTTAGGTGACATTAATACAATAGAGAAAGTGTAAATAAATAAGTTCGCGAATTTCGTCGCGAATCGATAGCGACTTGTGCAATAGTGATTTTCGACCGAGATTTCGCGATGATCTCGTCGGTCGAAAATTGAAAAGAAAAGATAGTCGGACGGGCATACTGACCTTCTTTAATTTCCTTTCTCGTGAGATCGGCGCTGCCTTTCGTGGCGCGTGCTACCATATTTGTAAAACCGATGCCGAGGCGCAGGAGTTTGTAATCGTCGTCTGCTGTCAATGGCTCGGGCGTGAGACCACTTAGATGTAGACATTTCCCTGAAAAGGCGGACAATGAGAATAATTACGTAACTGCATAAATTAATAGTAAGCACACACAATGGCCGCGTTTCCTTGCGATTACAACGAGTTTCATCATTTTCGTTTCATTACTGCGGACGGTGAAGCATGAATTTTTAAATCAATTCTGCTCCAGTAATTTAAAATCCGCATGCATAATTAGATTTTTTTAATTAAGCCCGCTGTTAAATTTAAAGGATATTTTTCATATTTTTTTTCTTTATATACGTATATATATATATATGCGCGTACGCATATGCACATATTACGCGCGCTCGCGAGTACGACTTGCGATAGCTTTAATCGTAGAAAAATCAAAGGATGGAATTATTAGCGGGGCGGGCCCCGCTCTGTGTTACATATATCGCCGATGCACACGCGCGAGTGGCTTTGAAAAAAATTTTTTCCAGCGAGATCACAGCGGGGGATCCATTTTTAATTTTAATTGCGTAACGTTAAGCATTAAATCGCTTACTTGCGGCGGCCATTATAACGAAACGATAATTGCAATCGTCGCGTGAACGGCCAAATGACTTCGCAAAGCTATTGTTCCGCGCGAAATACTCCGTGTTTTGTTAATAGGCCGCGCTCGGCTATATTTATATCCCATTAAATAAACGATCTAAATTTTCTGATAGGCATAATAAAGGGGGACGCTCTCGCGCGGAGATAATGGAATTGTTAGAACAGAAGCGCGGCGTGTCTATTGTAATAGAAATGACAACCATTGTTGTTTCCATTGTCGATGGCCCATCCGCGCCGGTATCATTTCGCCCGGCTAACTAAAATCATCGTCGTCAAATTTTTATCATGCGCTCGTTGTACGCGTTTAAAGTGTACTTTCATCCGCGAGATATACACGTATGTATAATTTGCGCTCGCTCTCGTTAATCGCGTCTTGCGCACGGCAGACTTTCAATTTAAGCGACGACACGAAAACTTAATTTCGCCGATTTATCCGGTTTATCAAATAACTCATTCAATTACTGTCACTCTTGCGAAATGTTAGCTCCGCGGCATTCCCAAGTATCGATTATGCTATTGGTCTATTATTAATTTACTATTTCCGTCATGAGAAAATTGTTTCAATTTCGAGTATCGCGCCTTGTTCATTCTTCTACGTTAAATTCATTGACGGGAATAAAGAGCGAGATAGAAAGAGAGAGAGAGAGAGAGAGCGGGGGAGGGAGAGCGCGCGAAAGCGTTTCCACGTTTCATGAAGATATAAATTAATCTCGTGCAAGATGCACAAACGATTAGCGGTTGACCGCTCGAATGTTTCAGCGGCGACGAGCGCCAATTAGCGAACTCGCGAATCGCAAATTTCCATTGTATAAATAATAAATAGCGCGCATAAATAGCGTACAAACAGCGGTAAATCGTACGGACGACAATTCGTTCTAAATATTGACGTATGAATGCTTGGCAAACGCGCGCGCGATCGTTTATTTCGTATCGCGTAAGCAAACACGACGCTTAAACGCGACGTTTAAAAGACACTCGCGCGGTGGTTTTCCGCGCGCGCGATTATGCGGATCGTTTCGTGAGGGGGACGCGCGCGAGGGGAAATTCAAACGATCGTTTTTATGGTCGTTCCCGCATGAGCGAATAAGTGCTCGTTAAGTAACACCGCCCGACGAGTTTTGTTTTCGATGTGTTTCCATGTACCTCGTATTATCGCAACAATTTGGCGGCTAAGTGTGTCGTCCCGCCGAGACGGCGAATGTTACAAAAGTAACGGTGAAAAAGGATTAAACAGTTTGGGTCCAAGCGCGCTTCGTGTCCAGGTCGGTTCTTTCTACGATTTTCCCCGTAAAGTTAGATTACGGAGTCCGCCTTTCGACCCTACCGTCGCTACAAATAATTGCTCGTCCAAGTCGGCGCGGGGTGACTACAAATAAATTATTTACGCAAAGTCACCCCGTAATCCCCTTTGCGCGTTACGCCTTGTCGTAGAATTAAACGTCTTTTACGCTGTGCCGATCTGCGCGCTCTTTTCCAAGGTGGAAAGATTTAACGAAAGTTGCAACGCGAGTGAAATCGAAATTTTGCACGCGAGATCATTAAGCGATTTTTTATCATCCGAGCGTATCCGCGAAAAAAAGCGGAAAAGATTTCACGTAAAATCCTCCCCAACTCCCGGTCGTAACGGCCGAAAGTGAAGGGGAAGTCGTTCGCTTACCGCGGGCGACTGTTTTAACGTCCAATAAATTAGCGCGAAAGTTCATAAACCGAAAAAAAAAAAGAAATCCTGCGTTCGCACCACCACCACCACCACCACCACCGCATCGATAATAAATTTATTACCGAGAAACGCCCCGCAAACGCCGAAGCAATAACCGTCTCCCCCTCCCCCCGCGTGCGGGCACAAGAAAACGGGCCAGATAAATCTTTTACCGCCCTCGATATATACGCGCGCGCGCACACACATGCAGCACATGCACAGGTGTTCGCGTACACGTGGAGAGAGAGACAACAGCCCGGTGGCGCGAAATTACAGTCGTCGCCGAAGTCTATCCCGCGAGCGTTTACCCCCGGCAGCAGATAGAGATTTATGACGCGGCCTCGGGAAATTCTCTCTCGCGCTTTACTCCAGTGGCACCGACCTACAACGGGCGCGGCGCGCCGGCACGACCTTGGAGAACTTCGGAACAAAGTTAAACGCTCGTCCGCGGCCGTTGCACGCTTTCCGGCGGCAACGTGCCCGCCCCACCGAGTCCGCGGGAAAAGGCACGAACCGCGTGTGTGTAATGCCGGTTCCACAGCGCGAGGGTGGGTAATCGCGGTCCCGGACCGAATTATCTGCACCCTCCATCTATCTTTTCTCTCTCTCTCTCTCTTCCCTTTTTTCTCAACATTTAAATAACAATGAATTTTAAATCGGCGATTTTTACGAGTGTTCTTGGAAGATGGTGAAAGGTCGGGCATGGTAACGCGAGGCCTGAACTTTGTTCAACTACACTGAGAAACCCACTTAGTTGACTCAAACAATATGCTTGTTTGGATACGAGCAAACAAATGTTTTGGTTGTGAGAACCAAAATTTGGAGTTTCTTTGAACTAAAAGTTAGATTCACTGAACGAGGCCTTTTTCATTTTCGTCTCGGAGAGCCGCATTTCGGTTATCACAAGCGAAATATTTATTTGCCCGTAGACAGACATTTTATTTGAGCCAACTAAATGGGTTTCTCAGTGTGTAATTGGCTAGAGTAGATAGTGGACCGATAACTCTATCAGGGCGTAGTTTTACGAACCATTAGTTCACAAACCGTTCACGGCACCTATCGACGTATCTGAGATTTAAGTGGCTGAGTGTCACACAGGGTACCCTGATAGTACGATATTCTCGTTAGGTCGTTGAAAATGCGGGTTTGTCGAGCGTAGTCTTGAATCGCTGGAATATTCGAGGTCTCGGTTAATATTGGTCAGTTACGTGCCTGGGCTACTCGTCTGTGAATAAACAGCAATTGTCGAAATATTTCCGAGGTTTTCGTCTTTTTTTTTTTATTTTTCTTTTAAGTGAATATGTGGGAAATAAGTGAATGGTATGAGATAATGTTTGAACGGGGAAAATAATTAGAGAATTCGCGGTGAGCAAGAGCAGCTGGAATAAAAATTAAGTTATAATGGCTCCTTTATCCCAAATTGGTCCCGGATGGGCTCTCCGCGAGAAATCGCGAAACGTCTACTCCCGCGCGCTTCATTGTGCACGCAGCTTTAAAGGTTGCCGCGGCGAAGGGGCGCGCGGAGCCATAAGAAGGAGACTAACGGCCGATCGAACAAACTTTATCGGGGCGAAATGCGACCCTCCTCCGTCATTCACGACGCTAACCTAACCCAACTTGACTTCGCTCGACCTTCCCGCCTCGCCGGGTGCTTTATGGTGTTTCGAGCGAGGGTGTGAAAAGTGTGCTCCCCCGTACGCCGATGGAAAGCAAATGCGTCTGTTCCCGCGCCGCCGTAAATTGTGACTCGTCCCTGATATGGACGTAATCGGGGTGGAACTTGAAATTCCACACGATCTCGGGCGCGAGTGCGCGCGTTTTTAGGGTTGGAAAATTATGGTAATTCACGGGGGCGAAGGGTGGAAATTTGAGAATCTGTCGGGCGGAAAAAATAGCCGAGGACGTGCTTCTGTCGCGGACGTTCCTTCTTTTTTCTTGAATTATGACCCCATACACAACGATGTTTCAGTGCGAGCATATATTATATTTATATATTATTATTATTATTTTTATTAAATTATTGTCTTTTATGGAAATATTCCCGACTAATACGGCTGGTAACACGAGCATAGCTGAAGGATGCATTCAGCCATCGATGTGAAAATAAATGATGCGAAAGGTATTTACGTTTTTCGAATATTTGATAATGGTGCGCACGAGGTAAAAGTATAAATTATAAAAATATCTGTACCTGTATATCATGAATATTATCCCTTTGCGGTCTGGAAAACCGGCCGAATATTCCTGCCCAAATGGCTTGAATATCCCGGATTACAGACCGCAAAGGGTTAATATCATTGCAAATATTGTTGCATAGTGGTGCCATTAGTTTTTGTAAATAATTTACACGCACATTTTTGCCGCGGCGTATTTTTATTAACGTATATGGCTCCAGACCGTGCAATTCGATACATAATCGATACGCATGATACGCGAAACACTAATCTGAAGATAATATTTCCAATCTGGAAACCAAGAATATCCGGATAATTAATTCTAGCGTGATCTCATTTAATATCGTGAATTAATCATATAACTGATATTCGCTGACAGTCTTGGAAAATATTAATTGCAACTCCGAGCGAATTCAATTTCCTTCTTGTATCTTTAAGCTCCTTCTGCAACAATAATCCCAAATGTCTTATGGAATGCTCAAAAATCAAAAATATTTTCTGAAAACCGGGTCTCTTAATTTCTTTCAGCAACAAAAAGTCACGGCAACAATCAGTATTCGGTATCTGAACGGCAAAATTAG